TCCCAGTGGCTCCCAACCTTGACGGCATGTTAGAGTCACCCAGCTGATGGGGGCAGCATCCAGGCATTAGCGAATCATTACACTCTCCAGGTGTTTCCAATATGCACCTGAGCTTGAGGACCACTGAACCAGAAATTCAGTTCCCTGGCGGCTCAGACGGTAAAGCGTCTGCTTACAATGTGGGATACCCGAGTTCGATCCCTGGATCGGGAAGATCCCCGGGAGAAGGCAATGGCAACCCACTCAAGTACTCTCGCCTGGAAAATCCCATGGACGGAGGCGCCTGGTAGGCTCCAGTCCCTGGGGTCGGAAGAGTCGGACAGGACTGAGCGACTTCACTTTCACTTTCAGTCAGCTTCCTGAATGGGCACTCTGGCTTCACACGTTGGAGCGACAGCACAAGGACTGACCAGCTCCCTAAATTCCAAGAGCTAGACTTTTAGTTGCTAGGTTGTAAGGACGTGTGGGGATCTCAGAGAAGGGGTGCATGTGGGGGACTCAGGGAAGTGGCTACTTACCAAACATCACTCAAAAAGTAAATAGCACTGAAACATGTATATTATCATATGTGAAACAGATCGCCAGTCCAGGTTCGATGCATGAGACAGGGTTCTCAGGGCCAGTGCACTGGGATGGCCCTGAGGGAAGGGATGGGGAGGGGTGTTCAGGATGGGGAACAAATGTACACCCATGGCTGATTCATGTCAATGTATGGCAAAAACCACTACAATATTGTGAAGAATTAGCCTCCAATTAAAATTAATTAATTAATTTTTTTAAAAAAGCAAAGAAAGAAGAGCCCTTATAATGCCAAGTAGCAAATACACAAAAAAATGTGAAGTTAGAAAATCACTATTTAATAAATTCATAGTAATAATTAAATCAGATAAGAATCATCAATAGATGACAAAACTAATAGAAGAGGAACCAGATAGCTACATAGCCTCAAAGTATCTCCACATAATATAGCTATTCATTATGATGAGAAAAAATTATAACTTTCCCATGGAGAGAACTGAGAGGCACCACTTCAACCAGGTCAGTCAATTGGCATCACCAATCATGGACAAACATCACTTACCTCCTAACAGGAGTACCAGGAAGGACATAACATCAATTCTATGTTATATCTGTCCAAGAAATATACAACCTCAATATAATCATGAGAAACTATTAGACAAACCCCTAATTAGGAATATTCTATAAAGATCTGATTTGTAATCATCAAAATCAAAGAAGAAAAAGAGGGGCTGAGGAATAGCTCTTCGGTAGAGAAGACTGAAAAACAAACAAAAATTCTATTAAGCAAATGCAACACATGCTCCTTGTCATTACTGTTGTTTAGGTTTCTTTTTTTTTTTTTCAAAATGTGTTTGGCTGTGCCACAAGACATGCAGGATCTTAGTTTCCCAACCAGGGATTGAACCCATGTCCAGGGCAGTGGTCGCCCACTGGACTGCCAGGGAAGTCTGTGTTTAGTGTTCTTTATAAAGAACGTTATCGGGACGATTGGTAAAATTTGACTAATGTCTCTGCATTATATGGTGGCACTGTATGAATATCAACTTTCTGACTTGACTGATTATATTGTGATTATGTGAGAATATGTCCTTGTGTTTTAGGAAATTCATACTAAAGCATTTTGTGATGTTGAGACATTGTGTCTACAACTCTCAAATTATACACGTGTGTGTGTGTAAGTATGTGTGTGTGAGAGAGAGTAAATATGGTACATAATTTATAATTTGTGGATGATATTTGGGAAAATTGGGTGAAGAGGATAGTGAAGGTCTTTAGCTATTTTTGCAACTTTTCTCCAAGCTTATTTCAAAACAAAAATGTTAATTTTTAAAAAAGAAATAAGCATGAGATCTAAACAAAGAGAGTATGAAAATGGAGCAAAAAAAAAAAAAATTTTAAAGACACCTAGTTACCTAGAAAAAAATTCAATTTAGAAAAATGTCAGCTTTTCCAAGCAAGAGATTTTGACTACTGTGAGAAAAAGTTTAAATAGACATAAGAACACTCAAGGGATTATATAATTATAATAATAAAACTTTGTATAGTCTTTTACAGAATGAAAATGCATTTCCAATGTTGACTTGCAGATGAGGAAACTGAGGCAAGTAAAAGACAAGGGTGTCCACCTGAAGCAGTTGTCCCTGCACCAATCTATACAGGTGGTGCTCCTAGAACTGGTCCAATGAAGGCGACCATGTGTTTTAGATGGTAATCATAGGTGTCTGCAAGGCTTAAGACTCAGAAGCAGCAAGCTAATGCTTCCTTTCACCTCCTGCCTCTCCCAGTTTTCCGAACCTGCTTCCAGGACCACATCTTGTGCATGGACTAGAGTTTCAATTCTCACGTTTCTTCAGATGTCTGAAGTAAGGCCAGATTGTCTTTTTTTTTTTTCTGTTTTTGTTGTTGTTGTTTATGTGATCATGATTTTTATATTATTAAAAATATTTATTTTATATTGGAGTCTAGTTGATTAACAATAGTATGTTAATTTCATTATACTGCAAAGTGATTCAATTATACATATGCATGTATCTATTCTTTTTAAAGTTCTTTTCCCATTTAGGTTATTAAAGAATATTGAGCAGAGTTCCCTGTGCTGTACTGTAGTACTTGTTGGTTATCTGTTCTAAATATAGCTCTGTATTTGTTGTTTTTGGCTATTGTTCTTTTTTCAGGAGCACTTACCTTTTCAAAATTCCATACTTGTAATTACAATCCATTTATACACACAAAGGGATTGAAGTTCAGTAGCTAGAGAACTATGGGTTGGTTGAACAAATTCCTCTTCAGTGTTTCAAGTCCCAAGGGCTTTAAAAAAAAATGTGAGGCCTTTGGCCAGTGAATCTGCCCCAGTGTGGCAGCCTGGCCACAGGGTCCCATGTGCCATGAGACACAGAACTCTTTGTCCGGGACCAGGTTTTATGAGCCAACAAGAGAAGTGCCTTGGAGCTCCCTCAATAAACATAAACATGAGGAAGCCTGGGAGCAAGTCCGTTGATACAGTTTAGAATGATGAGTTTTGCTTTCTTTTGTTTTCACACTGTATTTGACCAGGACCTGACCGTGAAACTAGGACATTATTGTCCTAGGGAAGTGATTCTCAAACTTTTTGGTCTCAGGATCTCTTTACTTGCAAATTTGGTGAAGACACCGTGCTTTGTTTGGGTGGATTATATCTCCAAACATTTGCTGTCGTAGGTAAAATGGAGTCATTTGTAAAATGTTTTGCAAAATATTTATTTCTTTGTTCATTAAAAATAACAATATATCAAATACATGTTGACATAAATAATATATTTTTAATGAAAGACCACTATATTTTCCAAAGCAAAAACAGTTAGAAAAATGACATTGTTGTATAATTTGTAAATTTGTTTAATGTCTGGTTTAATAGAAGACAGCTGGATTCTTGTATCAGTTTCCATATTCATCTATTGTGACACCACAGAGCACAGTCTCTGGAAAGTGGCACTGTATATCAATGAGAGGATGAGTGAAAATGGCAAAAACAACAGAGTATGTATATGAAAAGAGGCTTGACCTTGTAGACCCCAGAAAGAGTTCTAGGGTCTCCCCTGGTTCCCCAAACTACATTTTCAAAATACTGTCCTAGGGTTAAGCCTTCAATAGCACCTAAATGGCAATATTTGGTTATGACCATGAGCCTATTCACAGGGGTGATTTTAGAAAATAATAGATCAGGAATAAATGGTGATTGTGGGTATGAAAGTCCAAGAACATGCTGAAAGTCTTAACACACTGAAGGAGAGTCTAGATAGTAAAACAAGGGAAAAGCTGGTGAGTAAAAGACAAAGCAAACAAAACTATGAACTCTGATCCCAAGGTAGAGATTGTCTCCCCTATGTTTTATCTTTACATACTCATCTCTGTCTGGGTGATTTCTGGTCTGTAGAAGAGTTAGCACTTTGTAAGTTAATTCAGTCATTAGAGGAAACAGCAACAATCTAGTATTATCTCATAAATAAGTACTAATAGCATCAGTACTTGGAGAAGAAAGAGTACTCACCAGGAACAATATTACCATTGCTGGCAGCCCCCATACATACAGAAAAAAAGTAGTCACAGGAGAAGGAGTATTAGTGCAAATGACATGAGTTTATGAAGGGTAAGTAGTCACTGTAGAAAAAGCATTACTAGCATTATTGTTCCCAGACGTTGTCGGGGAAGGATAATTTGTAATCAGAGCATCATTACCAAGGCTAGCAGTTGGAGAAGTGGTTACTCTAGGAGGAGAGGTTAGTGTAGCAGAAGTAATGTTCTTATAAATACTTTCAGAGAAACTAGTCAATAGAAAACTATTGCTAGTAGTAGCAGCAGCAGTATCTGTAGGAAAACAGTGGTAATGGGTGAGTCGTATTAGTGCTAGTAGCAACAGTATTTGTTGAAGAATGAGTAGTGGTAATAAGAACAGTAGTACCAGTACTAGTATCAGTAGTACTTGTTGGGAAAGAAGTAGCTGTGATAGGAAGAGTAGCAGTATTGGTATTTGTAGGGAAAGGCACAGTAGAATTAGGAACATTAGCATTAGTAACTTCAATAGCACTTGCTGGGAAAGGCATGACTGTGACAGGAAGAATACCATTAGTGCTAGACAACAGTAGTGTTTGTAGGGGAAGATATAGTAGTATTAGAGACAGTAGTTGAAACTTCAGTACTGTTTGTTGGGAAAGGCATGGTTGTGACTGGAAGAGGAACATTAGTGCTATCAGTACTAGTATCTATTGGGGAAGAAATAGTGGTATTAGGGACAGTAGTACTAGTTGAAACATCAGTAGTACTTGTTGTGTAAGGCATGGCTGTGACAGGAAGAGTAATATCAGTACTATCAGTAGTAGTATTTACAGGGGAAGATACAGTGGCATCAGGGACAGTAGTACTAGTTGGAACTTCAGTAGCACTTGTTGGGTAAGGCATGGTTGTGACTGGAAGAGGAACATCAGTACTATCAGTAGTAGTATTTAAAGGGGAAGATATAGTGGTATTAGGGACAGAAGTACTAGCTGTAACTTCAGTAGCACTTGTTGTATATGGAATGTCCGTGATAGGAAGAGTAACATTAGTGCTATCAATAGTAGTATTTGTAGGGGAAGATATAGTGGTATTATTAGAGGCAGTAGTACTAGCTGAAACTTGAGTAGCACTTGTCATGTATGGCGTGTCTGTGATTGGAAGAGTAATATCAGTACTTTCTGTAGTAGTATTTAAAGGGGAAGATATAGTGGTATTAGGGACAGAAGTACTAGCTGTAACTTCAGTAGCACTTGTTGGGTAAGGCATGGTTGTGACAGGAAGAGTAACAACAGTGCCATCAGTAGTAGTATTAACAGGGAAATGTATAGTGGTATTGGGGACAGTAGTACCAGTTGAAACGTGAGTAGTACTTGTTGTGTATGGCATATCTGTGATTGGAAGAGTAATATCAGTGCTATCAGTACTGGTATTTACAGGGGAAGATACAGTGGCATTAGGGACAGTAGTACTAGCTGTAACTTCAGTAGTACTTGTTGGGTAAGGCATGGTTGTGACTGGAAGAGGAACATCAGTACTATCAGTGGTAGCATTCATAGGGGAAGATATAGTGGTATCAGGGACAGTAGTACTAGTTGAAACTTGAGTAGCACTTGTCGTGTATGGCGTGTCCGTGATAGGAAGAGTAATATCAGTGCTATGAGTAGTAGTATTAATAGGGAAATATATAGTGGTATTAGGGACAGAAGTACTAGTTGAAAATTCAGTAGCATTTGTTGAGTAAGGCATGGTTGTGACAGTAAAAGTAACATTAGTACTATCAGTAGTAGTATTTAAAGGGGAAGATATAGTGGTATTAGGGACAGAAGTACTAGCTGTAACTTCAGTAGCACTTGTTGGGTAAGGCATGGTTGTGACAGGAAGAGTAACAACAGTGCCATCAGTAGTAGTATTAACAGGGAAATGTATAGTGGTATTGAGGACAGTAGTACCAGTTGAAACGTGAGTAGTACTTGTTGTGTATGGCATATCTGTGATTGGAAGAGTAATATCAGTGCTATCAGTACTGGTATTTACAGGGGAAGATACAGTGGCATTAGGGACAGTAGTACTAGCTGTAACTTCAGTAGTACTTTTTGGGTAAGGCATGGTTGTGACAGGAAGAGTAACAACAGTGCCATCAGTAGTAGTATTAACAGGAAAATGTATAGTGGTATTGGGGACAGTAGTACCAGTTGAAACCTGAGTAGTACTTGTTGTGTATGGCATATCTGTGATTGGAAGAGTAATATCAGTGCTATCAGTACTGGTATTTACAGGGGAAGATACAGTGGCATTAGGGACAGTAGTACTAGCTGTAACTTCAGTAGTACTTGTTGGGTAAGGCATGGTTGTGACTGGAAGAGGAACAATAGTGCTATGAGTAGTAGTATTAATAGGGAAATATATAGTGGTATTAGGGATAGAAGTACCAGTTGAAACTTCAGTAGCACTTGTTGTATATGGAATGTCCGTGATAGGAAGAGTAACATTAGTGCTATCAGTAGTAGTATTTGTAGGAGAAGATATAGTGGTATTATTAGAGGCAATAGTACTAGCTGAAACTTGAGTAGCATTTGTCATGTATGGCGTGTCTGTGATAGGAAGAGTAATATCAGTGCTATCAGTAGTAGTATTTACAGGAGAAGATATAGTGGTATTAGGGATGGTAGTACTAGTTGAAAATTCAGTAGCATTTGTTGAGTAAGGCATGGTTGTGACAGTAAAAGTAATGTTAGTGCTATCAGTAGTAGTATTTATAGGGAAATATATAGTGGTATTAGGGACAGAAGTACTAGTTGAAAATTCAGTAGCATTTGTTGAGTAAGGCATGGTTGTGACAGTAAAAGTAACATTAGTGCTATCAGTAGTAGTATTTATAGGGGAAGATATAGTGGCATCAGGGAAAGTAGTACTAGTTGAAACTTGAGTAGCACTTGTTGTATATGGAATGTCTGTGATAGGAAGAGTACTATCAGTGCTATGAGTAGTAGTATTTACAGGAGAAGATATAGTGGTATTAGGGACAGAAGTACTAGTTGAAAATTCAGTAGCACTTGTTGGGTAAGGCATGGTTGTGACAGGAAGAGTAACAACAGTGCCATCAGTAGTAGCATTAACAGGGAAATGTATAGTGGTAGTAGGGACAGTAATACCTGTTGAAACTTCAGTAGTACTTGTTGGGTAAAGCATGGTTGTGACAGTAAAAGTAACATTAGTGCTATCAGTGGTAGTATTTATAGGGGAAGATATAGTGGTATTAGGGACAGAAGTACTAGTTGAAAATTCAGTAGCATTTGTTGAGTAATGCATGGATGTGACAGTAAAAGTAACATTAGTGCTATCAGTAGTAGTATTTACAGGGGAAGATATAGCGGTAGTAGGGACAGTAATACCTGTTGAAACTTCAGTAGTACTTGTTGGGTAAGGCATGGTTGTGACAGTAAAAGTAACATTAGTGCTATCAGCAGCAGTATTTGTAGGGAAAGATGTACTGGCATTAGGAACAGTAGGACCCGTTGAAACTTCAGTAGCACTCGTTGGAAAAGAAGTGGTTGTCATAGGAAGAGTAGCACTATTGCTCTCAGTAGTACTCATGCTACTTGGAGTAGAAGAACTAGTGGTAACAGAAGTAGCAGTGGTAGTAGGAGTTGTAGAAGGATATAAAGAACTCATTGGGAAGGTACTTGTCATAGTTGTAGTAGAAACTATAGGACCACCTTGAATCCAAGTAACCTCAGTTAACTTTTCCAGGCTGATATTCTTGTCAGTCAATTGAATATTTAGTGTCTGCCGGAAAAGAAGAGATGAAGTTGGTATTTTAGAACTTGTTAAATATCACATTTAAGTTAAACCTCACATTACAGTGTAACAGCTGTGCAATGCAACTTATTAAGACCAATCCAACATACAGCACAATATCTTTGGGAAACACATGGAAAGGATTCCATCAGATCATTGATCATTGATCCCTGGACTATCCTGAGTAAGTAAGATCGCTCAGTCATGTCCAACTCTTTGCAACCCCATGGACTGTAGCCTACCAGCCTTCTCCCATGGGATTTTCCAGGCAAGAGTACTGGAGTGGGTTGCCATTTCCTTCTCCAGAGGATCCTCCCCACCCAGTGATCGAACCCAGGTCTCCTGCATTGTAGGCAGATGCTTTGCCATCTGAGCTACCAGGGACTATCCTGAGAGGATCACTAATGTGCACTGTACAATATGAGTCAACATTTGCAAATATATATAACCTTTCAAGTATAAGTAAGTATAACAATAGTGCTAATAACTTTATAGAAAAATAAAATTAATGTACTATATGATAACATTCCTTTAAGACATACCTGATTGTAAGGGTCACTCTTGAAATTCATCACCATGAATTGTTGATTGTCATAGGAGACAGTCACTTGTGTTATATCAGTAGAGCTTATGCCCCAGATTCTAATATATCCAACTTTCAGTGAATTTGAGTCACTCAAATAATTATTATGTATCATTTGGATTTGCAGTACACTCTGCAAAGAATACATAAAGAGGAAAAGATACATAATACATCTGTTAACAGACTAAATTCTATATTACAATGTTAACAAAAATTCTGGTTTTATTCTTAAATACTTCATGAAGACATACTTCCTTAGAACTTAAGACAATAAATTTGAGGTGCTCAAAACAGGTTTGTGTGTCAAAATTACAAACGTTTTTTCACCTACATTATTACTAATTCTTACAATGATTTTGAAAAGAAAGAATTCTTATATCTGTTTCACAGATGAGAAAACTGAGGCTCTGGGAGAAAAAATGAGAAGGTTAAGGTCATATAGCTTAAAGGCATTTATATGGTTGGAATCATGATGAATTTATGTGCATAGCACTGTATGACTTAGCACCGTGTGAATAAACGATTATGGCAACTTGTCCCTAGGCTGAGGATCAATCATTCAGTTCAATCACTCAGTTGTGTCTGGCTCTTTGCGACCCCATAGACTGCAGCATGCCAGGCTTGCCTGTCCATTACCAACTCCCAGAGCTTGTTAAAACTCATGTCCTTTGAGTTGGTGATGCCATCCAACCATCTCATCCTCTGTCGTCCCCTTCTCCTCCTGCCCTCAATCTTTCCTAGCATCAGGGTCTTTTCCAGTGAGTTGGCTCTTGGCATCGGGTGGCCAAAGCATTGGAGCTTCAACTTCAGCATAAGTCCTTCCAATGAATATTCAGTACTGATTTCCTTTAGGATGGACTGGTTGGATCTCCTTGTTGTCCAAGGGACTCTCAAGAGTCTTTTCCAACACCACAGTTCAAAAGCATCAATTCTTTGGTGCTCAGCTTTCTTTATAGTCCAATTCTCACATCCATACATGACTACTGGAAAAACCATCGCTTTGACTAGATGGACCTTTGTTGGCAAAGTGATGTCTCTGCTTTTTAGTACATTGTCTAGGTTTGTTATAGCTTTTCTTCCAAGGAGCAAGCATCTTTTAATTTCGTGGCTGCAGTCATCATCTGCAGTGATTTTGGAGCCCAAAAATATAAAGTCTGTCACTGTTTCCACTGTTTCCCCATCTATTTGCCACAAAGTAATGGGACCGGATGCATGATCTTAGTTTTTTGAATGTTGAGTTTTAAGCCCTGTTTCCCTCTCCTATTTCATCAATAGGCTCTTTAGTTCTTCTTTACTTTCTGCCATAAGGGTGGTGTCATCTGCATATCTGAGGTTATTGATATTTCTCCCATCAATCTTGATTCAAGTTTGAGCTTCATCCAGCCCAGCATTTAGCATGATGTACTCCACATAAGTTAAATTAAGCAGGGTGACAATATACAGCCCTGACATACTCCTTTCCCAATTTGGAACCAGTCTGTTGTTCCATGCCCGGTTCTAACTGTTGCTTCTTGACCTGCAAACAAATTTCTCAACAAGCAGGCCAGGTGGTCTGGTATTCCCAAGTCTTAAAGAATTTTCCCATAGTTTTTCATGATCCACAAAGTCAAAGGCTTTAGCATAGACTAAGGATAGTTTGCAACAGATCTAAATTATGAACTACTTTAAGTATCAACACAAAGGTTACAATAATGTGAGTGAAGTCATGAGATGTTAGAAGATTAAGGCCTAAATGAAAATCATCATGAATATTTGTTATGGGTGTTAAAAGAAAAAAAATAAAGAATCACCATGGGAATAGGGTTGTCAAGAAAGGACTTAGGAAAGATGTGGAATGTGAGAAGTCCTGGGAGGATGGATAGAGCTGATGAAGACAAAATGAATAGGAAAGGGAATGGGGTGGAGGGAGGCACAAACACATCTGACAGAGGCAGAGAACAAAGGTGCTGAGTTCATAGGCTCCTGTAGCTGGAACTAAGCAGAGAAATCACATAAATAAGATGATGATTTGATGCAATCAATTAAGGAGACAGCTGTAGTAGAGTGAAACTATAAACTCCTAGACTCTGTTAGCAACAGTAGAAAGAAAATTATGTTCAGTTGGCATTATGGAGAATTAACCAGAATTTTGTGACTGATTGAGCAATGAGAATCAAGAGAAAATTAAGAAAAAGGAATATAACATGAAGTAAATGAATGTTTTGGAGCTAACTCTTTTGATTTGGGAGAGCCTATTTTTAAATTGTATGGAATTTTGCAAGGCAGTTGATAGCTTGAAATTGACTAACATGATGGGAGATTTTACACACAGAAATTAGCAAATGCTACAAATCAGCCACCAACCCCCATAACCTCATACCAGCCAAAACACCACTGATAAAAATTACTCCCAGGGGAAGCTCTCTTTCATTTCAAAGCACTGATCCTTAGGAAAAACTCCATCAAACATCACATAGAAGTAAGAATTCACTTATCACTACCTTGGAATAACAGAAGAATGGAATGAGAAACCAAATGTATTATAACCAAGGAACAGAACAGGAGAACTACCTTTCCTAGCTTGAATAACTATTTAGCAGTAGGAAGAGAACTAAAATCCAGGACTTCTAGATGAGCAGCTTCATTAAAAAACAATATTTTCAGAGGAAAATGATATACTCTTCAATTCTTTTCTTAAACTAAGAACAAAGAAGTTACATGCTTAATTAGTATACAAAGTCTTGCATTTTTTTTCAGAAAGGCAAATGCAGGATGGCAACACCATGACCCAATAATAATGTCTATGAAGATAATCTGATACACGTGTTTAAAAGAAGTACATAGTGTGATGCAATAACAGTAAGAAAACTGTTTAGCTAAAAGGAGCTAAGAGTTAGGTAATGAACTAAATAAGTATTTATTGTTGCATGCCACTGAGGTTTTCAGTTTGGGGGGTTTTTTTGTTGTTTTTTTTTTCAATAGAAAATCCACACTGTCTTATAGACTATAATGCAAACCACATACGTAATTTAACAAGAGAAAAAGGAAAAATTGCTTTGATGATGTTTTCTTTAACCCAATATATCCAAAATACTGGGCTTCTCTCGTGGCTCAGATGGTAAAGAATATGCCTGTAATGAGGGAGACCCAGGTATGATCCCTGGGTCAGGAAGATTCCCTGCAGGAGGGAATGGTTACCCATTCCACTATTCTTGCCTGGGAAATCCCATGGACCGGGGAGCCTGGCAAGCTACATTCCATGGGGTCACAAAGATTCAGACATGACTGAGCAACTAACACACATCCAAAGTATTATTATTTTAACATACATTTAACATAAAATATTGATGTGATATTTTATGATCTTTTTAAATGTTTAAAATTAAGCTAGTCATATTTTAAATGCTTGATTGCCACATGAGGCTAGTGACTATCACTGCATACCATAGTGCATCTCTAAGATAATCTCTCAATCCTGGGACCATGCTTTAAGAGAATCTAGACTAACTGTAGTACAAACAGAATAAACTAATCTGGAAACCAGTGTAGGCACAAAACAGAGGAAGTATGAAGTTAGCCTGGAGATAGAAGACAGAAGGAATATGTGACAGATACCTTCAAACACTTGAAGCATTGTTACATAGAAAAAACACAATAGATTTATGTTATACTATTCCTTAGTTAAATCCACAAGTAAAAATTAGAGAAAAGCAGATTATAGGTTTGATAGAGAATGATCCTCCTACTCTAATTAAAACTGTATGGATTATCCATGGAATCATTTAACCTGCCTAGTAGATTGATTGTATTATGACCTCCAGTGATTTGTCCCTCCCTATCTATACCCTTTTCCATGCAATTGTGCGATGACCTCCCTCTCTGGATGGGGCATTCTATCTCACCTCTGTCGGGGTTAGCCATATGGCTTTGCCTATTGCCAACTTAATACAAATGGAGATTTCAGAAAGCCCTCACTCAGGCTTTTCCACCTCTATTTTTGCCCTCTTTCATAATCATGGAAATGGCATGCCCAGACCTGCCCGTAAGGCCATCTGAGATCATCCAAGAGCAGCAGACCTCCAACATGTGACCGCACCCTCCAGATATATGATCACCAGAGCAAACTGACATTCCCATGACTGATTGCAGATGAAAGTGAGCAGGCCAAGATCAGCCAAGCCCAGCTTAGATCATCTAAGCACTGCAAAGTTATAAGCTAAATAAGCATTAATTACTACACGCTGCTGGAGTTATGAGGTTGTTTTTTATGCACCATTTTTGTGCAACAGATAGCCAATCTAGCATTTATCTTTCAAATTTTTATCAGCCAGAAAATGTCTCATCTCCTAAAAACATGTCATATACTCATTTTTCCCCCAGCATTATATGAATTACAATTTTTTTTTATACAGTGATGGTATACTGAGCAATTGTCAAAATAAGAACTGTTTCTTCCTTATTTTAATGTCAGTAGATCTGATTTATAAATGTAAAGGCAGGAAGGTGTGGGATATGATATTTTTACAGTTCATTGATTACATTTAATCTGTAGCTAACTGGGAAAAGATTTATAAAATTCAATAAAAGAGTCTTACCTGAGCTGCTGTAAAGTTTACCAAGAAATAGTTTCCATTTTCAAAGGTATCTGCAAACAAGAAAAAAGAATAAGCAACTACTCATTGTTTCAACAATAGCAGATAATCTTTCACACAATCAGAAAATATTTCATTGGGATCACAAATACTGATCAAGACAAATCATGACCTCTGTAGAGCAGCGCTAAAGATAGTGGCTGAGGGAATACTTCACCCCAGGTTAGTGTAGGGATGTACCTATGGAAGAGGGTATTTTTGAGGTGAGCATCAGGAGATTGCAAATACAAGAGAACGTGGATTGAACTAGTAGACACCATAGGTGAAAAAGCATGGAGGCTACTGATGGCAACAGCAAAGAATCTGCCTGCAGGAGAGGAGACCTGGCTGTGATCCCTGGGTAAGGAAGGTCCCCTGGGGAAGGGAATGGCTACCCGCTCCCCAGAATTCTTGCCTGGAGAATTCTGTGGACAGAGCAGCTTGGCAGGCTACAGTCCATGCAATCACAAAGAGTGGGACATGACTGAGCAACTAACAAACAGCAAGTGCACAGCCATGAGAATTCACACAGCTATGATGATAAAGGCTTAGAGTTGGGGAGAGTGGTTAGGAATTTGTGCTCTCAAGTGAAATTGACATAGATTCAAATTTCCACTTTTGTATTATTGTGAAAACTCTGGAAAATTACCTAACATTTCATCATCAGTAGACTGGAGATGCTAATAATACCTAGCTCAAGGCAATGAGGTCTACAACATGCCACTTGTGTAGATAAGTGCTCAAAATTTATTGTTCACAATCATCATCAAAGTCATCATCATCTCTACCTTGCTAGTTCCTCTCTCCCTACTCTTAGCTCATCCTTCCACAGCGTTCCAGATCCTAAGGCCTCTAGCCTCTGCTTGTTACATCTGTGTGTTCAACTCATAATTCAATCCTACATCCACCACTCTTCAGCTCCTGTGTTTTTTTTTTTTGTTTTTCCCCACTGAATCTGGTCCTTTCAAAATCACCAGTGATATAGTATATTAAATTTCAATATCTCACCATGATGTTCAAGATTTTTAGCCTCTTTGCCCACACATCTCCTCTTTGAAATACTCCTTAGTTGATATCTGCTTTACTCATTCTCCTTATGTGGCTAAACGCCTGTTTCATAAAAGTCAGTTTCATTTCATGTTTTATTCTTGGCCCTAGTCAACATTTCATCTCTAATCAATATATCAACATAGTCTCTCCCTGAACCCAATAATAGTCTTTGTTTTTTAAACTAACTCCACTCTTGTGGAAATGAACACTTGTAAACCCATATTTTTAAACTGAGCTTTGGCTAGAAAGTGTAACATAAGAAAGCACCATAGCCTATTTTAACAGTTTTAACTTAAAATTCTTAAAGAATGAGATTCTGTTCATATAAGCTATTTAAGATTAACCTTGAGCTAACTATTGAATCTCCTTAAATCTAAGTAAATTTTTAAAAATAATTACAAACAGTTAAGAGAAAAATTAAATCTATACTTGTATCTTCATATTTTAAATTTTAATTTCTAGGGTTGGTGAAAAAGGGAAAAGTGCTTCTGCATACACCTTAAACAGTGTAAAAAGTTTAAAACTTGCTGGAACTATTAATTTTTAACTTTAACTCTAGAATATATTTGTTGTAGGAACTTAAAGTTCTATTGGAGAAGGACATGGCAACCCACTCCAGTTTTCTTGCCTGGGAAATCCCACGGACAGAGGAGCCTGGCGGGCCACAGTCCACAGGGTCACAAAAAGAGTCAGACATGACTTAGTGACTAAACAACAACAAAGTTTTATAGAAAATTGGTTTTTCCTTCCTATTTTTGAAATATATTGCTCATAGTGAGCTGATTTTACACACTAACTTTGGTGCTATAAACCCAACATGATATTAATCATCTAGTCCTAATCAGCTCAAGCTGTATAAAAGGATTCTTGTTGGTGTTGTTTAGTTGCTAAGTTGTGTCCGACTCTTTTCAACCTCATGGATGGTAGCCTGCCAGGCTCTTCTGTCCACGGGATTTTCCAGGCAAGAATTCTGGAGTGGGTTGCCATGTCCTTCCCTATCCAGGAATCAAACCTGCGTCTCCTGCATTGGCAGGAGGATTATTTACCACTGAGCCGTCAGGGAAGCCGGAAAGGATTCTAGACGCCCTTAAAATATTGGTTCTCAACCAGCAGCAATTCTGCTAGTGAAACATGTAGCAGTTATCTAGAGACACATTTGTTATTACATTTTGGAGCTGGAGAGAGTGTTTTAGCATCTAGTGGGTAAAGGGTGGAGGTGTATAAACATCATATAATTAATGGTTCAACCACCACCAATAACAAAGAATTATCTAGCCTCAAATGTCAGTGTTATCAAGGTTGAGAAAACCTGCACAAATAAAGGTACTTTCTTAAAAAAAGAAGAGAATTCTTGCTCCCTAATTTCAAAAGTTACTTTAGGGACTCCCCTGGAGGTCCAGGGGTTGAGACTTTGCCTTCCAATGCAGGGTTTGTGAGTTCAGTCTCTGGTGGGAGAGCTAAGATCCCACATGCCTCAGGGCCAAAAACCCAAAACATAAAACAGAAGCAGTATTGTAACAAATAAAGATTTTAAAAGTGGTCCATAAAAAAAAAAATCTTTTAAAAAAAGCTACTTCAAAGCAATTATAATCAAGACAGTGTGTTACTGGCTGTTAACTCCTGTTGCTATAATTTTCTGCTCACCAAACAAATTCTTGACTGAAGTTTTATCTTTCACATATACTTCACTTAAGGAAAAATATGTACTTCCTAATAGATGGGAACATCTTAGCCCATTAATAAACACAGTTCTTAAATATAAAAACTGACATTGTGGCATATTATTTTCTTGTAAGGTACAAGTCCCACTCCCTTAAAAGTTGGCTTGGGTAGCTGGTTAATCTCTTTTCTCTGATTTTTGGGCTTTTTGTTGTTATGCTAGCCACTCTGATTTAACTCTAAACTATATTAAAGGCTTGTAATGGAAACTTATTATTTATCTTGCATATTAATGATACATTTTATTCAGCAACTATGTTTCAGGAATTCTATCTATATATTAAATCAACTAAATCTACATAAAATCTACATGATAAGTAATATCTTGCAGATTTTGAAAACTGAGGAAATACAGATAGAGAGATATAAAGCTATAAAGCTTCCCAAAAGATACATAATTAATAAATGACTGAAATGGTATTTGAAACCAGACATATTGAATTCCAATATATCACATGACTCTCCATAGAGTTAACTTAAAAAAACAAATCCAGAGACCAAATGGAACTTTGAAAGTAATCTAATTCCTTTATATCTCTACAATTTTTGCCAGTTCCACCTATAAATGAGCACACACACACAAAAATAATTTGAAAAGCATCTCTCTTATATACTGCATTAAAGGAATAGAGGCTTCTAAAGTATTATCCATACATGAAGAAGAGTAATTTAAAATGCCACTTGTAACATCATCAAAAACTTAGAAATACTTAGGAAACTTAACAAAATATGTGCAAGACTCATGCACTGAAAATTATAAAATGTTGCTGAAGTAATTAAAGGATACTTTCACTTACTTAATCGAAGATGAGATAGAGAGGGAGATAGATAACCCTAAATTTATCTTTAGTATCAATGCATTTCTGTTAAAGTTCTAATAAACTTTTTGTTAGGTATTGACAAGTTGATTTAAAAACTTTTATGAAATCCAAAGGAACTACAATAAACAAATCTGAAACTACTTTAGTCAAGACAATATGATAGTGGCATAAGGATTAAACATTTAGATCGATAGAAAAACTAACCCAAAATAAACTCTCAGCCACATATAACCTATTGATAGCTAACAGAAATGTCAGGAAAATAAAACAAGGAAAAAAGGTTATACTTTCAAGAAAGTGGTGCTTGATCAGCTGGACAAACATGGGGGGAAGGAACCTGGACTATTACATACATACAAAATATAATAGTAATGAGGTGGAGTTCCTAATATATAAAAGCTAAGACTGTAAAACTGGTAACCTTCAGTTAGGCCATGTGATGTGATTTATGATAAATAATATATATTTGGTCTTTATCAGGGGGCTTCCCTGGCAGAGCAAGTGGTAAAGTATCCTCCTGCCACAGTAGAAGACGCAAGAAGATCCCATGGAGTAAGAAATGGCAACCCACTCCAGTATTCTTGTTCAGAAAGTCCCTGGACAGAGAAGCTGCTATTGAAGTCTAGAACTCCTGGAATTTCAAGTGAAGAGAGCAATCGAAGTGTCTTTTGTTATGTTAATGAGGTGACTTTTGGAAAGCATCTCAGGATGGTGGCTGTGTGCTGTGTGTTGCTCTTAGTCACTCAGTCCTGTCTGACTCTTAGCGACCCGCATGAACTGTAGCCTGCCTAGCTCCTCTGTCCACGGGGATTCTCCAGACAAGAACACTAGAGTGGGTTGCCATGCCCTTCTCCAGGGGATCATCCCAACCCAGGGATCGAACCCAGGTCTCCCACTAGTTGCCAGAATAGCCAACTATCAGTCTTACTCTGAGACCTCTGGAAGGGAGGGGCTGGAGATTGCATCAGTAGCCAGTGGCCAACGATTTAAACACCATGCCAATGTGATGAAGCTTTCAAAAAAATAAACAACCACAAAAAACCCAAAGAATGAGGTCCAGAGAGCTTAGGGGTTGATACACACATGGAAATGTGGGGAGAGTAACACGCCTGGAATGGGCAGGGGAGCTCTACAAGGCTTCCCTCATACTTGCCCTAAGCATTGCTTCTCTCTGGCTACTTCTGAGTTGTATCCTTGAATAATAAACCCATAAACTATTATGCAAAATGTTTCTCTGAGGTCTGTTACCACTCTAGCAAATTAATCCAACCTGAGGAGGGGGTCATGGGACCCTCCAATTTATAGTTGGTCATTCATAAGCACAGATGACAACCTGGACTTGCAGCTGGCATAAGAAGAGGGAGGGGAAGGCAGGAGGAGGAAGTCTTGTGAAACTGACCCCTTAACCTTGAGATCTGACATGATCTCCAGTAGGCAGTGTCAGAATTGAATTTAATTGTAGTACACCCAGCTGGTGTCCCAGAATTGCTTGTTGGTGTGGAAAAACACTCACATACACATATGTTGGAATTGGTACCAGAACCTTTTTAGGCTAAGACACAAGAAGCACAAACCATATAAGAAAAGCATGAATAAATTGATGTTTAATCAAAATTAAAGTTACTCTTTCCCAGACACCATCATGGAATTGAAAGGGCAAGTCACAGACAGGGAGAGTCACAAACCATATATTTGATAAAAGATGGTAAAATATATAACTCATAGAACTCAATAATAAAGACAAATGACAATAAAAAAAATAGGTGAAGGACTTGAACTTCACATAAGAAGGTATATGAAGTGAAGTGAACTGAAAGTCACTCAGTCATATCTGACTCTTTGTGACCCCACAGAATACACAGTCCATGGAATTCTCCAGGCCAGAATACTGGAGTGGGGAGCCTTTCCCTTCTCCAAGAGATCTTCCCAACCCAGGGATTGAACCCAGGTCTCCTGCATTGCAGGTGGATTCTTTACCAGCTGAGCCACAAGGGAAGCCAAGAATACTGGAGTAGGTAGCCTATCCCTTCTCCAGTGGATCTTCCTTACTCAGCAATCAGACCAGGGTCTCTTGCATTGCAGGCAGATTTTTTACCAACTGAGCTATCAGGGAAGGCCTAAAAATGTATATAAATAACAAATAAACACATGATAAGATGCTCAACATCAAGGAAGTACAAATCACATCCATAATGAAATGCACGATACACTTACTAGAACGGTTAAATTTTTTAAATTAATTCTTAGTGGTAGTGAGGATGTAGAAAACTGGAACTCTTAATTAGTAATGTTAATAATAGGAAATAGTACACTTTAGAAAACAGTTTGGTATCGTCTTCAACCAGTAAACATACACTTATATGACCAGGCCCAGCAATTCCATTTCCAGGATTTTACCCAAGAGAAGTGAAAACATATGGTTACCAAATGACTTATACTCAAATAACCATGGCAGGTTATAAGTAATAGTAAAAAATATGAAACAACTAAAATGTTTGTCAGTAAGTAGATGGATAAATTGTGGGTACTCACACAAGATGACTATTCAGGAGTCAAAAGTAATGAACTCTTATATGCAATAAAATGGATGAATTCTTAAAAATATTTTGCTAAGTGCAAGAGGCTAAACACAAAGAGGACATACTGTAGGATTCTATTTACATAAAACCTAGAAAAGACAAATCTAATTCATAATGTCAGAAAGCAGATCAGTGGTTGTCAGAGACTGGAATTATGAACTGGGAGTGGGGGGCAGTTTGTTGGAAAGAAGTAGAAGGGCTTTGTGTCTACAAAAATATTCTACATATTTATTGTGATAGTAGTAAACCAATAGGAGAAGGCAATGGCACCCCACTCCAGTACTCTTGCCTAGAAAATCCCAGGGACGGAGGAGCCTGGTAGGCTGCAGTCCATGGGGTTGCTAAGAGTCGGATACAACTTAGTGACTTCACTTTCACTTTTCACTTTCATGCATTGGAGGACATGGCAACCCACTCCAGTGTTCTTGCCTGGAGAATCCCAGGTGTGGGGAGCCTGGTGGGCTGCCATCTGTTGGGTCGCACAGAGTCGACTGAAGTGACTCAGCAGCAGCAGCAGCAGCAGCAGAAAACCAACAACTGTATACATTTGTCAAAACATATTATTAATACAGCTATAAATTTAAAATGGATACACCTTATGTAGGCATATCAAGTTAACTAGAAACCAATAATTTTATTTTTAGGAATCTACCCTATGGAAATAATCTGAAATACAAACAAAGATTAATATTCAGTGTTGTTATTTTATAACAATAAAAACTGAAAACATCCTGCACAGGGAATAACTATAGAAAGGTAAATTATGGAATATCCTCTGAATGAAATGTGATAATCATAAGGATATTGATAAAGTATATAAAACAATATCTAGACATATTTGTGTCACTATGTTAAGTGCAAAGAAACAGGATTCACAAATTAAATATGGCAACCCACTCCAGTACTCTTGCCTGGAAAATCCCATGGATGGAGGATCCTGATAGGCCACAGTCCACAAGGTCGCAAAGAGTCGGACATGACTGAGCGACATCACTTCACTTCACTTCACTTCATGTTTTCAACCAGAGGAGGAAATAACAACCCACCCCAGAATTAATGCCTGGAGAATCTCATGGACAGCGGAGTTCTGGTCCATAGGGTCACAAAGAGTTGGACACAACTGAAGTGACTGAGCATGCGTAATTTCAGCATTATTGAAAGTTAAGCATTATTTTAAGTAAAATGAAAGCAAAAGGTGCTACAGCAAAAACATTAACTGGTTTTAATTTTTTTCTATTTTTTTATCTCTTAAAATGTTTTCCTTAATGAGAATATGTTTACCCTTGTAATGAATAAAACAAAAAGGAGTAAACTTTTAGAAATATTTTACTTTTGTAAATAAAGAAAATAATGTTTTATTTTATTGAAAAAAAAACTATAAATTCAGTAACTGCTACCTGTTACAAGATTAGAATGTTCTGGTCCACATTAATAAAGTATTGGAAAACGGACATCAGTTGGTGAGAGATTGTAAATCTACAGCAATGCCTGAGGAAGAGGGTGTTCCAGTTACAGTGACAAGCACCAATGATCTAAGATAGAACTATCGTGTTCCAAAACTGGGAAGCAAAAGTATACAAAGCAACATTTCATTGGCATAAGTATTCTTTTGACAATTTAAATTCCCAAATCCTGAGACACTAGGAAATTTTCTAAGCTCTAATTTGTTTCCTGAGGGCCTGCATTATAAAAGTGTTAGTTGCTCAGTCATGTCTGACTTTTTGAGACCCTGTGGGCTATAGCCTGCCAGGGTCCTCTGTCTATGGGATTTCCCAGGCAAGGATACTCCAGTGGGTTGCCATTTCCTTCTCCAGGGGGTCTTCCCAACCCAGGGATTGAACCAAGTCTTGTGCATTACAGGTAGATTCTTTACTGTTTGAGCCACCACTTTGGAGGCAAAGGGTGCCTGGTTCTAGATGATTGGTCCAAATAGAGGCAGAACTATGAACTACTGAGAGTGGATGGTCAGCTTAATAGAAAGTTATAGGGAGATTAAGTCCCCCAGCAGAATCTATAATATCAGATTGACGATTTTACAAAGCTGGGGACCATATACCCTTCTATTACAATTACAGCATAATATATATGAGAAACAAAAGTTTCAAAAATTCTCCCAACACCACTGCCTTATTAATAGTAGTAATAGAAATAGGCTTTCAGTTCATGCCAGTTATATCCTGAGCCTCCATGTATGGCTTTCCTGAATGCTGTATGGGGACTCAGCAAAGTTCCTACTCACCAATGCTTTGTCCATCATCCCAGAACAGCTGACCTTCAGCTCTACCACTGTCATCCAAAGCAACAATCAGTCCCATATATTTCTGTCGGCTATTAAAAGAAAAGTTATTTTTCTATAGACTATAGGTTGTAAGGATGAAGGACAGCTTCTTTTGAAAATATATAGTCATCCAGAAAAAAGTAAATACATTAAAAATAAAAACAGATGAGATAAAATCAAAGGTATCTAAAAGCTAACAGAATAAAATGTTTATGTTTTAATGAAACATCCAATAAAACTTTAATCTCCAAAAATCAAATACATACACTTTACTTATATATATAAGTAATATAAGAAGCTTCTCCCCCACCACCAAAAAAAATTGTTTAGCAGCTTTCAGATTGCTACAGAATACAATGCAGTGTACTTCTCCTGCATTCACAACCTTCCATGGCCTGATACTAACCGGCGTGATTTTTATTTACTTTATCTCTCTCCTTTATCAGTGCTCCAGTTAAACTGAATGGTTTACTGTCCTCCAAAATAAGCTCAATTTTCACCTTTAGTTCTTTAATCCTCCCAGAATATCCCTTTCTCTTGTCTTCACACATTCAAATTCTATTATTCAAGACTCGGCCCAGAGCTGAAACCATGATTTTTATAGCACAAGAGTGAAAGCTAACTTCCCTCGTTGAGTGGTTACTGCTCTTGTTATGTACACCTCTCTTGACATAACATGTTCTCTTTTATGTAATATGTGTGTGTGATGTGGTGTGTATAATTTCTCTTGAGTTCACCAAAGTAGACCTCAGGATAAGTACTAAAACCCTGGGTAGACATCACAAGTCAAAGAGCTCACTCCTATTCCCGAATTTTTAAATACCGTGGAAAGAGGTACATGATGCTACCCTCGGGAAAACATACCCTGAACCTTTGACACAGGAGCTACAGATAAAAGTTCTCCCCAAGACTGACTTCATAAACTCATTCTCCCCCAGATCCCTCTTGGAAGGTACTCTCAGAATCAGATCGATGAAACTGTCCATATTTAGTTTACCCTCCGTCAAGGTGGGCCACTTCCTAAAAGGCTGCCTCGTTGTGGGAAAGTGAGGCCAACAAACACCACCTCTCTCCCTTACCTGGAGTGAGTGTTCATCGCAGGTTCTTGCCAAGGCAGGATGTAGCCTCCTCTGATATGAAGGTTGATATGGTCAAGGGGAGCCTCCAGGACTTTCCACTCACCTATTGATTCATTGCCAGATCCCTAGAAGGGAGAAAGTAGGCAAGGAATGATGACCAGAAAAATAGATGAAATCAGTGCCTGCTTTATTACAAGTCCTTCCTTTCCAAGAAAATCAACAAAATACTGCAAATCGAAGCAGAAAATCTCTGATTTTCAGCTTTGCTAAAACCTCTTAAAAAAACCTCTAGTCTTTTCTCTGTATTGTTCAGAAAAGGTAGGGGGTTGTAGAGGAGCCGATGTAACATAGGCATCAGATTTTCCAGTATTTGTGGTTTTGTGGATACTTTTATTTAAGCAAACTTTGCATGGCCAAAAGGCTGAAAATTGCTGCCTTAGAGAATATGTGCTTGGAAGTCAGGAGAAAGGTCCAGGCCCCTCTCTGCCTACAGGGACCAGCCGGGGCCCAGAAACAGTGTTAGTTCTTACCGTGTGGTAGTCATACCATCGGGCTCTGGGAAAGTAAGCCTGGACCTGAAAAGTGTTCTGAAAAACAAAGTCAACCTGTCATTATGAATATGCCAATGATTTACTTTTAATTTTTAAAATTCTCTCTGTAGAAATAAGATTAAAAAGGGAACTTGATTAATGACTTAAAGATCCTAGGAAATTCTTCTTTAAACACAAAGAAACATAACATTTTTGGAAAGGTAGATTTTGCAAGGATGCAATATGATAAGATACCAAAATGAGAATCCTTTGTGGGGGTAAAGTTTCCGTTCATGGAGATCTTGAAAAACAGTCAAGCTCTCCCTTAGAAGTTCTAGAAATGCATTTGCTTGAAAACAGGGAGTTGGATAAGACAACCTGGAGGGCAGTGGTGAGGAATCCAATCCAGCTGACAATGCAGGAGACACAGGTTCCATGCCTGGTCCGGGAAGATCCCACATGCCACCAAGCATAGAGCACCTAAGTCTGTGTGCCACAACTACTGAGTCCATGCTCTAGGGCCCAGAAACTGAAACTCCTAAGCCCACGTGCCCTAAAGCCCATGCTCCACAACAAGAGAAGCCATCACAATTAGAAACCCTCACAGCACAACTAGCGAGTAGGCCCCGCTCACCACAGCTAGAGAAAAGCCCACACAAGCGACCCAGCACAGCCAAAAAAAAAAAAAAAAAAAAAATAGATGATCTATAAAATGCCCTTCCTGTTCTTTAGATTATATGATTGGAGGGTATCTGAGCTCACATTTTCCAGCACTGGGCTAATTAAGATGGCAGGGCCCAGCATGAACTGATGGTCTATATCCCATGTTGTGCGTTCCTCTGTAAACCTTAAAGAAAAAAAAAAAGTGAAAAATACACCCATATTGATATGACAGTTGCAGAGGGTTATTCCCAAGACATCCCAGACTTGTCACTTGGGGAACCCAGCTGTACTCACTCATGGAGAAGGGGTCGGACCACAGTGCTGCCCTCGGCATGAGCTTTATGCATTAGAGTGTAGAGGTAAGGAAGCAGAGTGTATCTGGTCTGGAGGACTTTTCTTGAGAACGTCTCAAAGGCTGAGTCCCAGGCCACAGGATCTTGTCTCTAAAAGGGTAAAGTGGCAAGCGGAAGGTCACCTCCTCCTTTCTAGCAGTATGAGAAAAGGACCAGCATCATATATGGGCTTTCCTGGTGGCTCAGCGGTAAAGAATCCCCTGCCAACACAGGAGACATGAGTTTGACCGCTAATCTGGGAGTAACCCCTGGAGAAGGAAATGGCAACTCACTCCAGTGTTCTTGCCTGGGAAATCCCATGGACAGAGGAGCCTGGCGGGCTACAGTCTATGGGGTCGTAAAGAGTCAGATTTAGCGACTAAGCACTCACGCACAGGCACATATCCCATATGTAGGTTACACATCCTTTTTCCTCTAACTTCTAGCTTCCTCTTTCCCTCCATCTGCCATCTTTATAAACTGGAGGTTCTTGCTTCCTTTTCTTTCCATGAACCCTTCAGGATGGGGTCTAGCTTTGGCCCTGTGCGTGTGTAGAGAGAGATGGGTCTCCATGCAGCACTGACATAACTCAGTAAGATTTAAGTAAAATACAAATCCATCATTTCTAAAAGCAAAGGGAGCCTCTTTTTATTTCAGCTCCATAGGGAGCCATAAACATTTCTCCTCATAGGCATTAATAACCCAAGAGATGGGGAAAAGTATATTCTTGAAAATGGTTGGTAGTCTGGGCTCTTGAACTCTGTGGATTTTCCAAGCAATGGAGTTGCTGGTGATTTTATATTTTTTTCATCATACAAATAAGTATGATGCTCTTGAGCTAAGAAGAAGTTAAGAAGAAGTGGTGGGGTTTCCCTGATGGCTCGGTGGTAAAGAATCTACCTGCCAGTTCAGGAGACACAAGTTCAATCCCTGATCTGGGAAGATCTGATATGCTGCGGAGCAACTATGCCCATGCACCACAGCTATTGAGTCTGTGCTCTAGAACCCGGGGGAACACAACTACTAAAGCCCACAGCCCTAGAGCCTGTGCTCCACAACAACAGAAGCCACCACAGTGAAAAGCCTGCACACTGCAACTAGAGACTAGACCCTCCTCGCCGCAACTAGAGAAAAAGCCCACGCAGCAGTGAGGGCCCAGTACAGCCAAAAATAAACAAATACATAAATAAAATTATAAGAGGAAATTATGATGTACGGACACGAAACACCCAGAATGTAACTGGCTTCCCTCACCCTGGTCCCAAATGTGTTGTGGTTCCTGGAAAATGGATAAAACGCCCCCAGCTGCATCCAGCGAACACACATCTCATACTCAGCATCTCCAAAGAATCCACAGATGTCTGCTCCTGTCTGAGAAGATGCAAAATCAGAGCATATTTTAGGTGGGACTTTGTGGGTTTCAGACACACCGAAATCTGAACTGGGGGATTCATCATGGCCCCAGTAGGACTTACATAGGAGATTCCAAAGAGACTGAACTCCATCATGCCTGCAAGGAGAAGACACAGCTGCGTTGGACACAGGAGAGCAGACTGCGGGAAGGGGAGGTTTGACCTGTCTCTTCTGTTCCACATTTGAAAGCTCTGAGTCACTCATGATGAAAATGTCAAAAGACGGGTGTGCATTAAAACTCATACACACAGAGCACTCAGCTCCCGTAGCATTCACTGACTGCATGGATGACGATTAGACACGACCAACCCCACTGAAGAGCACTCCAGACCCCTCCCCACCTGGAGAGGCCCCAGGATAAGCCCACACACCAATGATCGACTTCTTCAGCTGGTCCCACGTGGCCGTGTTGTCGCCCAGCCAATGTCCTCCCCAGCGGCCAGAAGAGGGGAAAGTGGAGCGGGTGATGACGATCCCTCGCTGTCCTGTCACCTCCTGCACGGCTCTGCTCGGAGGGGGACAAGGGGGTGAGCTGAGAGTGAATTTGAGGCTGGACAGCTGAGGAGCTTTATCTGCTAGTTAAGTGATGCTGAGAGTCCCAGTCAGCTTCCCAGCAGAACAACTTGCAGATAGAGCATCACCTAAAGTATGGATTTCTTTTTCTTTTAAAAAAATTTTTCATTAAAAAAAATTTATCTTATTTTGGAATATGGTTGATTAACAATATGTGGATTTCTTAAAAAAGTTAATTAGCTGTCTACTTCTAGGTATGAGGAGGGCTGGGATGAGGTGTAAGACAGAGATTCACAGAACAATTACTCCTATCCCAGGCATTGTACCAGTCATGTTCATGTGTACTATCTCACAACCCTGGCCTACTTTTACTGTCAGGAAACTGAGGCTCAAAGAAGAGAGATAATTTTTCAGTAATTAAAGAGCAAAGAGGTAGATCTGGTACCCAAATAAAAGTATATATGACTATAGCTCCCTTTGATAATATGCCCTCTACTAGGCTAATCCTCAAAACGCAGGAAAAATTTTGCACAGAGGGACAAATATAGATAAAAGATGTTTAAATATTTCTCAATGGAAGGTCAGTCTTCTGTAAGATGCTCTAGCCCCAAAATAAAAACAAGATATGAGAGAAAAATCAGTGGATCAAAAGAGAAAATCTATTGACAGATGCTGGTGTATGATGTAATCCAAATATTTGCTAAAGAAAGCATTACATCGATAGGCAAAGATAAAGTATTCAGTAAATGATGTCAGGAAAAGTAGCTAGCTATAGCAGAAACTAATCCATTTAGGTTACTGCCAATATTTCACACTAAAATAAGTCCAAAAATGGACAGGGATGTGTGGGCATGCATGTACATGTGCACACACACACACACCCCAGTGAGAGGGAATGAAGGCAAGAAATAAGGCAGGGGTATCCCCAGTGGCTCAGCAGTAAAGAATCCTCCTGCAATGCAGGAGTCACAGAAGATGCAGGTTCAATCCCTGGGTCGGGAAGATCTCCTGAAGGGGGACTTGGCAATCCAATCCAGTCTTCTTGCCTGGAGAAGCCCCATGGACAGAGGAGCCTGGCGGGCTACAGTCCGTAGGGTTGCACAGAGTCAGACATGACAGGGGTGACTTAGCACACACACATAGAGTAAGGGTGGATGCCCGTGATGCAAAGAACTTTGTCCCTGACCATGTCAGAACTCTAGACATTTACAGCCATAGAAAGAGATGAAAATCGTCTTGCTGGCCAGTGACAAAAGCACACTCACTCATACGTGGGTCTGGTCTGGGCCCAGCCGTAAAGGTTGTGCACGTCGTAGTGGCGCACGGACGAGCCGTCTGGCAGCATCTGCTGGCTCTCCATACACAGGGTCTGGCTGCTCAGGCCCTGGCCCCGGGACACCAAGTCTGGGACGAAGTGCAGAGTTAATTCTTACAAAATCTGATTTGCACATTCACCAGAAATGCCCATCATCTTCACATTTCTCAACTTCAGCCAACAACCTCATTACCAGTAACAGCTCCAGTTTCAAGCAGTTTTTGTCATCAGGGTCCTGTGGCTGCTTAATTAATGAAAGGTAAGAACAGAGTATGGAGCCAGGAAGGGGACCCTTCTGTTCCGCTCCAACTCTAATAGTTACAGGGGGCTGCCATAGCCCAGTTAGGACTCAATAAACCTCTTTATGGTTATGATCGTCTCTTCCACTAGATGGCAATGTTCTCAAGGGAACAGGCCCTATTTCATCACCGCACTAATACGGCTGAAGCTTTCTGATTTGTCATCACTTATCTGATACACAGATACTAAATTAAGGAAAGAAGGAGAAAGGGGCAGAAAGGAAGGAAGGAGAAAGGAAGGGAGGAAGGGAGAGAGGAAGGAGCTAGTGAGCAATAGGAAGCCTAGCAGTGAACCACAATTCAGGAAATGTGGAGTCCACGAATTACTGGGACAGTACTCTTAGTGAAGAGTCACTTCCTTTCCTAGGCAAGAGTTCAAATAAGGTACGAGCTCAAGGTAAGGGAAGAGTTCAACTTGTAAGGTGTTCAACTCCTAAGACATCTTTAAACCAAATGTCCATTGATATTCTGTTTGTTTTTACCATGGGACAAACAGGGAATATCTTTCATATAGGTTCTGTGAACATGGGCAGAAGGAGTGACAGAACTAGATTTCCATTATCTAATCAAAAGAGTGAAATGTGTATGTAGAGTGCGCGTGTGTGTGTATGTGTGGTATGTGCATATGTGTGTCTTTGTGGTGCATGTGTAGTATGTTGCAGTGTGTGTGCATGTGTGGTGTGTGCAGTGTAGTATGTGGTGTGTATGTGTGGTGTGTGTGGTGTGTGACATGTCTGTGCATGTGTGGTGTGTGTGCAGTGTAGTATGTGGTGTGTATGTGTGGTGTGCGTGGCATGTGACATGTCTGTGTGTGTGCATGTGTGGTCTGTGTGCAGTGTAGCATGTGGTGTGTATGTGTGGTGTGTGTGGTGTGTGACATGTCTCTGTGTGTGCATGTGTGGTGTGGGTGCAGTGTGGTGTGTGTGCAGTGTAGTATGTGGTGTGTATGTGTGGTGTGCGTGGCATGTGACATGTCTGTGTGTGTGCATGTGTGGTCTGTGTGCAGTGTAGCATGTGGTGTGTATGTGTGGTGTGTGTGGTGTGTGACATGTCTCTGTGTGTGCATGTGTGGTGTGGGTGCAGTGTGGTGTGTGTGCAGTGTAGTATGTGGTGTGTATGTGTGGTGTGCGTGGCATGTGACATGTCTGTGTGTGTGCATGTGTGGTGTGTGTGCAGTGTAGCATGTGGTGTGTATTTGTGGTGTGCGTGGTATGTGTGGTGTGCAGGGGGTGATTTGGAGTGTCAGTTATCAGTTCATATTCATCACTATAGTCAGATGCACATCATTGCTTGGTTTCTTTCAAACTACATCATGCTATTATTTCTGTGCCTGATTAATTGTTTATTTGCACTTGTTCAATTATTCTATTTGAGATTTTATGTCAGGTTTAAAAGCATTTTCTTGCCAAAATTAGGCTTCACTTTGACAATAACAGGAAAATTTGCAAGGCTTTTGAGCAGAGAAGTAATTTGGTGAAGACATCATTTTACATACATGGCACATAGGGTGGATTATTAAGAATTTCATCGTTGCAGCCCCTGACAGATCCATTCACAAAGTTTGATGGTTCATTCATGTTCTGCAATGAGAAAGCAAAAAAAAAAATTCCGTGGGTCAGAGGCAGCATGGCCCTTCCTGGAGATGACACCGACCCCTCAGCAACGAGGTCAAACTCACACCAGCTGGTTGCATCACTGACTCTCTGTAATCTCAGGCACCAACCCAAAAGGACTCTAAGAAATCATTTTGGTTTAAAAAGAGTGTTAAACCTCTAGTTTACTTGGCATTTTTAGACCTGTGAGGATTGGCTTATAGTGACAAAATACTGAAATTAGGCTGGAATCATGACCTAAGTAAATCTCCTTTTGATTCATCTCCCCACACCAGCCCATCTTTTCTATGCATGGATGACTCACTTTTTATCCATGGCTAATGGTTATTATAATTTCCTCATTATCAATAGTTTAGACTATTGATTCTGACACCAGCTTAGACCCAAAACCAGGAGAAATCTCTAGCTTTCTAACTTCCAGTAGATACGGTCCTAAAAAGTTGTAGGTAACTCAGAAACAAATCTAGAAATCAAATAATACTTGCAGGGATCTATTACTTAAATGCAAGAAACAGCAGTTCTTGAGGTGAATATTCACAGCCTACATTATCAGTGGAAAACTTAAAATGTTGTATATTAAGTGATCTTAAGTGAAAGTGAAGTCGCTCAGTCGTGTCCGACTCTTTGCGACCCCAAGGACTGTAGCCCACCAGGCTCCTCCATCCATGGAATTTTCCAGCAAGAGTACTGGAGTGGGTTGCCATTTCCTTCTCCAGGGGATCTTCCTGACCTGGGGATTGAACCCAGGTCTCCACATTGCAGGCAGACATTTTTATTTTCTGAGCCACCAGGGAAGGCCCTGGTGATCTTAAGTAGGACATACTAAAATGCAAAGCCAGGCTGTTTGGGAGGACTCTTGGCTACTGGAGTTATTCAGCTACAGCTCTCTCGCAGTGGAACAAACACCACAGAGCTGTTGAGATCTGTGTTGCTCAGGGCTTCCCCCATCTCTTCACAGTTTGGGTTAATCTGTGTCCTTTCGTGCCCTGGGTCTGCCTATCCTGATGGTGGCAGCCCCAGGGCCGCCAGTGGGCTGAGAGGTTTGTCTCTGGGTCAATGGCAAGCTTCTTTCAGCCTGGCCCAGACTGGAGAAGCTCTTCAGAGCAGACCTGGAATATGCTCGGGAGCTCAGACCACTGCCCAGTGGAGGAGGAAACTGGGGCACCGACATGCTTCCCACTCGTAGAGAAACACCATTAGAGGAACCTTTGAATGTGTGTCCCAGAGACATCTCAGGAAGCCCTGCTCTTAAGCCCAGCCAACAAGCACAGCAAGCATCGGAATGGACCTTTGAAGCTGGAGTTTTCCCAGCCCTGTGATGATGCCAGTTACCTCTGATCCATGCCTTGCCCACCCCCGACCCTGTCCTGTATCACGGGATGGGCTCTTGGGCTCTTTTAGCACTGGCCTCTGTGTAGGTCTGGCCAATGGGAAGCACTGGCGAGAGGTTAGAGGGTGTGGAGCTAAGAGAAGTCAGACACGTGTCCCTCTTTCTTCTCCAAGCAGCAACTTGAGTGGCGGATCATCACCTTCAGGGACCCCAACTTCCACTAGGCAGTATGTCCCTGGGCAGACATACGATTCTCTCTGCTCTTCCTGGTGTTCCCAGCACCTTAGCTCTATAACAGCATCCCTCTCGTCCACTCCCCCAGCCCTAGCTTGCTGCTTTGGTAGGTTCCGAGTTATCTCCCTGTGTTTCGACTGCTAATGTTTTCAAAGAAAGGCATAAAAGATGACTTACAATCCACAATCCATCAAACTTCAAGCTCTTCTCTGGCTCTCGAGGGTTTCTGTAGAGCTCTTCTATTTCCCTCTTCCACCAGGTAGCCGTGCTATTCCGCAAGAAGTCAGGAAAAGCGACGTGGGCTTTGTACAGCTGTAAAGATGACACATGCTCTTATGTGGGGTCTCAGCTCTTCTGTGGGGGGACGGGGGTGCGCGAGGACCGGGAAGGGGAGACAAGCAGGTATTTGTGCAAGGCTCTGCCCACTCGGTGTGTGCCCTAACCTCACATCAGTGGCTGCAGCTGCAGTTTACTGCGGACACACACACACCAGGGAAGGTGACTCCATACGCTCTTTTCCTAGAAGGTTAGGTAGTCTTTAAGTCCCATTTTAAACATGGGATTCACTTTATGATTAGGCATGTCATCATATAAACAGGAAAATTAACCATCAGTGTCTAAACAGTCAAACTTGAGAGCACAAGTGCTTTTTCCCCATTGGTCAAATCAAGGAGATCAGTCATGCAGGGAAATGTGAGCTGCAGTGTGGATGGGATGCTGGATGTCCGAGCCTGATGTGGCATCAAGTGCTGAGTAAAGGCCACTGCTCCTTTCAGCTGGCCAGCACTTTCTTCTATATGTAGATGATTTGAAATTAAAGCCCAATCTGTTCATAACCCCACCTGTGGAAAGATTCCACACTTTCCTTCACTATTTTTAAGCAACATCAAATTCAAACAAAATACAACCCATTGAAGGTGCACAGGTAAAGGTATTTCATATATAATTTCCTTCTATACAATTCCAGTTTAGCTGCCTGTTGGGTTTTCCATTTGCAGAAAATTTTGCTTCCAGAAAATTACTTGTTGACAAGTACACTCAACTCAGAGCTACTTAACCACACATCAGGGTAAAACTCTTAAGTATCCAGATGTTTAGAACCATGTTGACAACAATCTGTGTGTTACTGTACCTTAACCTGAGTTTCGTGATCAAGGGACCCATCCACATTCACGTTGGGCAGATCTGGCCAAACCTAGAAAAAGAAAAATAAAAACTAAAACCTTTAAAAGGCATTGCACACAAACCATGAGATGTTTCACATGTTAGACTCTAATGACATGCATCTCCATATAATTCCAGGGGATATTTGCCATTAATTAAATTGCAAAGTCTGAATATATGGAATTTTGTTAGGTGAAAATAGGTTGGGATCTCTTGATTCATTCCATCAGTTTTCAAAATTTTATTTTGAATGTTATTAACCAAATCCCTTCTAAGCACATCCTCTGTACAATCACTTGGCAAATGATGATTTTTTTGCTGACCTGCCTATCACAGACTTGCAACAAATTTCCCCTTATAAAAAACACATATTAAGTGTGACTCTAAAGGAATAAGATTGATTTCTGTTCACAACCCATACACTTAGTCTCAATGCTTTTAAGCAGTATCACGACTTACTAAGGACCCCAAGTATACACAGCATTAAAAAATTCATAGTATCAACCAATTTCATCCATAATTAGAAGGACATTAACTGTATACATTTTGGACTTCCTTGGTGGTTCAGACGGTAAAGCATCTGCCTACAATGCGGGAGACCTGGGTTCAGTCCCTGGGTGGAGAAGATCTCCTGGAGAAGGAAATGGCAACTCACTCCAGTATTCTTGCCTGAAAAATCCCATGGACAGAGGAACCTGATAGGTTATAGTTCATGGGGTCACAAAGAGTCAGACACGACTGAGTGACTTCACTTTCACTTTTCAACTATGTACATTGATTCATTCATTCAACAAATACTGAACATTTACTATATGCCAGGTTCACTTCTATAATCTGTATCTGCTGAGCATTAAGTAAGAAACAGTCCTCGTTTTCTCCAAGTTCACAGATGGAACATAAGCAAGTTGCAATATACAAAAGGGAGAACAAAGCTGGTCTTTGGATGCTTCCTAAGAGTGAATATTTAAGTTGGCCTTGAAGTCCAGGTATTATTTGGGTAAGTTGGGAAGGAAACATTCAACGGCACTTGAACAGGGCATTCAGTTCAGTTCATTCACTCAGTCGTGTCTGACTCTTTGCGAACCCATGAACTGCAGTACACCAGGCTCCCCTGTCCATCACCAACTCCCGGAGTTTACCCAAAACTCTGCTCATTGAGTCGATGATGCCATCCAACCATCTCAACCTCTGTCATCCCCTTCTCCTCCTGCCCCCAAACCTTTCCAGCATTAGGGTCTTTTCAAATGAGACAGCTCTTCGCATTAGGTGGCCAAAGTATTGGAGTTTCAGCTTCAACATCAGTCCTTCAAATGAACACCCAGGACTGATCTCCTTTAGGATGGACTGGTTGATTCTCCTTGCAGTCCAAGGGACTCTCAAGAGTCTTCTCCAACACCACAGTTCAAAAGCATCAATTCTTCAGTGCTCAGCTTTCTTTATAGTCCAACTCTCACATCCATACATGACCACTGGAAAAACCATAGTCTTGACTAGACGGACCTTTGTGGACAAAGTAATGTCTCTGTTTTTTAACATGCTGTCTAGGTTGGTCATAACTTTCCTTCCAAGGAGTAAGTGTCTTTTAGTTTCATGGCTGCAATCACCATCTGCAGTGATTTTGGAGCCCCCCAAAATAAAGTGAGCCACTATTTCCACTGTTTCCCCATCTATTTGCCATAAAGTGATGGGACCAGATGCCATGATCTTAGTTTTCTGAATGTTGAGCTTTAAGCCAACTTTTTCACTCTCCTCCTTCACTTTCATCAAGAGGCTCTTTAGTTCCTTTTCACTTTGTGCCATAAGGGTGATATCATCTGCATATCTGAGGTTATTGATATTTCTCCCAGCAATCTTGATTCCAGCTTGTGCTGCTTCCAGCCCAGTGTTTCTCATGATGTACTCTGCATATAAGTTAAATAAGCAGGGTGACAATATACAGCCTTGACGTACTCTTTTCCTATTTGGAACCAGTCTGTTGTTCCATGTCCAGTTCTAACTGCTGCTTCCTGACCTGTATACAGGTTTCTCAAGAGGCAGGTCAGGTGGTCTGGTATTCCCATCTCTTTCAGAATTTTCCACAGTTTATTGTGATCCACACAGTCAAAGGCTTTGGCATAGTCAATAAAGTAGAAATAGATGTTTTTCTGGAACTCTCTTGCTTTTTTGATGACTCAGAGGATGTTGGCAATTTAATTTCTTGTTCCTCTGCCTTTTCTAAAACCAGCTTGAACAGGGCATTAACCCAGAGCAAGAGTGTTGCAGCAAAACATAAACGAGTGAGGAGCCTTTGGCACATACCAGTCAAACAGGCCTACAGTTGTTTTGGTTATTCTTTAGCTGTTACTACTAACAGACTCTTGAGAAACCTGTATACAGGTCAGGAAGCAGCAGTTAGAACTGGACATGGAACAAGAGACTGGTTCCAAATAGGGAAAGGAGTATGTCAAGGCTGTATATTGTCACCCTGCTTATTTAACTTACATGCAGAGTGCATCATGAGAAGCGCTGTGATGGAAGCAGCACAAGCTGGAATCAAGATTGCTGGGAGAAACATCAGTAACCTCAGATATGCAGATGACACCACCCTTATGGCAGAAAGTGAAGAAGAACTAAAGAGCCTCTTGATGAAAATGAAAGAGGAGAGTGAAAAAGTTGGCTTAAAGCTCAACATTCAGAAAACTAAGATCATGGCATCTGGTCCCATCACTTCATGGCAAATAGATGGGGAAACAGTGGAAATAGTGGCTCACTTTATTTTGGGGGGCTCCAAAATCACTGCAGATGGTGATTGCAGCCATGAAACTAAAAGACACTTACTCCTTGGAAGGAAAGTTATGACCAACCTAGACAGCATATTAAAAAGCAGAGACATTATTTTGCCAACAAAGGTCCATCTAGTCAAAGTGATGGTTTTTCCAGTGGTCATGTATGGATGTGAGAGTTAGACTATAAAGAAAGCTGAGCACTGAAGAATTGATGCTTTTGAACTGTGGTGTTGGAGAAGACTCTTGAGAATTTCTTGGACAACAAGGAAATCCAACCAGTCCATCCTAAAGGAAATCAGTCCTGAATATTCATTGGAAGGACTGATGCTGAAGCTAAAACTCCAATACTTTGGCCACCTGATGCGAAGAGCTGACTCACTGGAAAAGACCCTGATGCTGGGAAATATTGAAAGCAGGAGGAGAAGGGGACGACAGAGGATGAGATGGTTGGATGGCATCACTGACTCAATGGACATGCGTTGAGTAAACTCTGGGAGTTTGTGATGGACAGAGAGGCCTGGCGTGCTGCAGCCCATGGGGTTGCAAAGAGTTGGATACTACTGAGTGACTGAACTGAACTGAACCAAACTAACAGACACTTGTAGCTGGACTTGTCCTTCACAAAGCTAATTACTCTCTGACTCCATATAGATTATATTCTACACTTGGCATTCTTCTCCTATACTCCCTGTAGCATTCTCCATTTCAGAAAGGAGGTCCTGGGTTGATAACTTCAGGAACACCAGACTTGGCTGCTGAGTTGCCTGAAGCCAACTCAGGCCATTTTGAAACTTTGCAGCAGAAAAAATGATGCAAGACATTCAAGAGGATATAAAACCTCTCCCTATTCCTAAGAGAGCAAGGCACAATTTTGAGTCACTGGTCCACTGTTTTTCCCTTTTGCCTGGTAAAAATAATAAAGCTACTCTTCTCTATTTCCTCCAAATGCTATCTCTGTATTTCTATTCGGCATCGGTAGACAGGGAGCCAAGACTTTGGCAACAAGATGAAACAGCATGGGATATTTACAGAGCAACCCTGGCTAAGAGCTACTGTCATCCAGAGCCAGGAAGTCCACTTAAAATCTTGTTGCTAAGAATCAAACAATGAGTATGAGGATTGAGGCCACAAAAGGGAATGAAAGGAGATAAGAGGAGATTAATTCATAGCATTCAGTGATTTATTTAGATACTGATTAAGCATCCTGGGTCAAAGATGAGAGTAGGTGACTGAGAGACAGATTTCAAAGTCCTTTTCAAAGGGATTCTTTATCTTTGTTAAATGACCAGTTGGCATATATAAGGGGTGGGTCATTGGAATACTTCCAGACAGTAAAACAAGTCTCACTGATATTTTAGAGGATTAGACCTGAAACCTTAGCCTTATTAATGTTTATTGAGTTAATCAGTATCAGACAGATTTCTACTCATTCATAATTTATAAATCACCCAATATATTTTGCCAAGAGTTATTGCATCTCTTTTAATCAATTGTGGTACTGATTAACTACAGGCACCTTATCCAAAATCTTACCTTTCCCCAGACAATATCACTGTTGTCTGGCCATTTGATGAACACATCACTTTCCTTCCCTCTGGTGAATGTGAGATACTGGGTTTCATTGCCAGAAATGGCTGGGTCCTGCAGTGAAAGGGTTTAAAACAGCAGACATGAGAAAAACATCACCAAGAAATCTCTTCTCTAAATTTTTAACAATTCACAGTGCAGAAAGAAATGGTGAGATTTAATACAACATACCACACACACACCCCCCATGAATAATTGAGAGCTAAAAACTATATTGATGTTTCTCTATAACATTATTTTATTTATTTTTTGGCTGCAACATGTGGCATGTGGGATCTTAGTTCCCCAACCAGAGATCAAACCCACACCCACTGCGTTGAAGTGTGGAGTCTTAACCACTGGACCACCAGGGAAGTCCCTCTCTATGACATTCTTGAGGAAAAAGGTATGCTTATGTTTGAAAACAATTCCTAGAGATAAACCAGGTTAATAAAACATTACTCTCAAGTGGAGAAGTCTAACTGATTATGTTTCCACAATGTACTGCCAGTAGTCCTTAAGAACATGAAATTCCTTTTCTTCTATTCTGTGACCCAACTTGTCTATCTCAAGTTCCCTTCCCTGTTCAATCTATCCCATACCTGACTCAACTGCTCTCTAAATAGCATCATACTTCACAACTGTCATAGAAATTGTCACTACCTATGTGAAACTATCTTTTTTTTTAATGTATATTTATTGGGGGTCTCCCTCTAATAGAATAAAATCCCTGTAAGAAAAAGGACATCTTATTCTCATAGATTATAAATACATTTTTTAGAAGAGGGATTTTCAAAGACCCAGTGTTTAGTCAATACTTGAATGCATGAATGAACAAAAGTCAAAAAAAATTGCTGTAATTTCTGGAGGCTAGAAGGAAGGATCATTAGTAGGTAACTACTTCTGTGTTTGATAAGCTTCCAATGTAAAATGTCTGCTCAGTTGCTCAGTCAAGTCCAACTCTTTGTGACCCCATGGACTATAGCCTTCCAGGCTCCTTCTGCCCATGGAATTTCCCAGGCAAAAATACTGGAGTGAGTTGCCATTTCCTCTTCCAGGGGATCTTCGTGATCCAGGGATCAAATCATTGCCTCTTGTCTCCTGCATTGGCAGGCAGATTCTTTATCACTGTACCACCTGGTAAGCCCCCAATGTGAAATAATAAACTGATATTCTGGATCTTAAATCAGTTGTTTGTGAATTTAATTTAGAAGAAATAAATCCCTTAAACCTCACCATTGTTGAGTACTGGTGATGGTAACTTAAGAGGTTTTTGAGCCCCAAAGGGAAAAATGAGATTAAGATACAGCTATTTTCTCCAAGGCATAGCCTGAAACAGTGAGACACACTCTCTCTCTTCTTTACTGTTTTTTTTTTTTGGGGGGGTGGGGGAGGCTATATCTAGTGTTACATGCTCTATTGTATTTTTGGCTATTATCTAGTATTTCAGTTTTCTAACTCTACTGAAAGAATATAATAATAAATTACCTCCCAATAACGCAGCTATGAAAAATAAATATTGCAATCCATCATCTTTTAAGAGCCATTTTCATCCATTCTTCTTTTGTTTATTTGCTTTTTTAATACTTTTTAAAAAAAATTATAGATTCACAAGAAGTTACAAAAAATGTTCAGGGAGGTCTTCTGTATTTTTCATCCAGTTTCCCTCAATGGTACTGGTTTTGAACTATAGAAGCAGAAAACAGGATCTAATCTTTCTAAATACCTACCAGAACAAGAACAAATCTCGTGCCATTTTTCTTCATTTGCTCTATCAGGAGACCAAGATTTTGAAAGCTGGGGCTGAGGGTGAAGTCCAGCTTCCGGTCCATGTAGTCGATGTCTACATGGTGGACATCCTGTGGAAGGAAGCAAGCAGGATACTTAGGTCCCTGCAGCAGGAGCTCCTCGGGGCACATGAATTGCTCAGCCAGGCTCCGGTCCTACTGCCTGCAGACTCCAGACCAGGCCTCCCTGAACTTCTTATCTGTTACTCTCCTAGACTGACTTTTCAATTCTGCTGATTGAAATTGCTTTTTGATCCCTACATCCAGCTCACCAGTTCCCATTCTTTCTCTTTCTGCTCCTCCAACTGTATTTCCTCCCTTTCCTTCCCTCAATTTATGTCTTATCCATTCTTCAGATCTGAAACCCAATGAGCCTATTAAACAAAATGCTGGTTGAATGTTCAAGGCTAGAAAGCCATACTGGCCTGAGAAACAAAAGATTGTATATCTGTGTCTTTTTTCCACCCCTCCAATAAACCTGACTGAATTTATTCACATTTGCTGCTACTGCTGCTAAGTCACTTCAGTCGTGTCCGACTCTGTGCGACCTCATAGACAGCAGCCCACCAGGCTCCCCCGTCCCTGGGATTCTCCAGGCAAGAACACTGGAGTGGGTTGCCATTTCCTTCTCCAATGCCTAAAAGTGAAAAGTGAAAGTGAAGTCGCTCAGTCATGTCCAACTCTTTGAAACCCCATGGACTGCAGCCCACCAGGCTCCTCCGTCTATGGGATTTTCCAGGCAAGAGTACTGCAGTGGGTTGTCATTGCCTTCTCCTATTCACATTTAGAACTACATTATTTTATAGTTTTCTATAATGTATTTATTCCTGCCACTCTCATTTGACTGGATGAGCCTTGGAGTGAGAACCTTGTCTTCCCTCCTCTATAAAGCACCAACTCAGGTTTCTGCATATGAAATTCACTTAATCCTTGATTGTTGAATAATGACATCAAGTGGTTAATATTCAGTTCCTGGTGGGGAGATGATGATTCTTTTTAGCCTGCAAGTGATAATCACCTGAATTGCCTTAAGACTTTAAGTAAAAGTTGTTCAAAGGAGGAGAGATTTGTTCATAAGCCAAAACTCGGAAAGAATGAATCAACACATTATTAACATTAATTGCCTCTGTGAGGTAAACCCATGGATTTTTTTAATCTTTTAATTTTCCTATCTTTTATAATTTATGTTTAATAAGTATCTAGAATAGCAATCTATAAAAAGAAAAATTAAGCCTGAATGAATGTTTTAAATTATCTTTGATGAGAATATCATAATGCTTTTTTTATTCTCAGCTGCCAATCATTAATTGTCCTCCAAAACCTCAAGAGGTGAATTGAGAGCAAAACAACTGCATGATGAGAAACTGATCATTACAGGAGGATAAAGAACATGCTATTTATGGAATTCTGCCTGTTGACAGCAAATGACTGCACTTCTAGGGCTTTATCTAGGGGATAGGTTGTTGTAGGATATGCTTATGCGTATGTGTGTGTTTAAGAAAAAGTGAAGGCTTACTATTAACGGGTTTCATTCATATTGTCCTTTTATATCCACCCTCCCCAAGAATAGCCACAGTTCAATTTCCTAAAATGGTTATAATCTTGAGATTATTTTCAGGTCCCAAAAGTCATGTCTCAAAGTCCAGCCACGGCTACTGCAGGATATTCCTAGCAAGAGGCAGGAACAGTATCCCCCCTCAAACTGCTGAAGGATTTATGCAACTCTCAGTTTGCAATGCTTGATTTTAAAGGGTTGCCTGAAATAAACTTAAAAGGTAATGTTTTCTAGATCCACAGCTACATTTTCTTCATGCTGAAGTAGTCATCACTACTTGAATGAATGTCTATGAAGATATTCCAATCTATACTTAGCCACAAATTCCCACCACGAATTAAACCACAGACTGAATGAGGGTATCATACGTAGGGAATCTGAGCAGCCATCATTGCATCATACAAACTGGAGATTTCATAATCATCCTGGTATCCATAGCGACTCAGCTGGAATCCCAAGGCCCAGTAGGGAATCATTGCTGGGCGACCAATCAACTAAAATAAAAAAGAAAAATAGATTCAAGTAAATTTCTTTGGGAAGAAAAGATGATTGACTTATACTTCAAGCAACTTGAGCTCTTCTGTGAAGCTGTCTCATCTAAGAGGCTTCACTCAAGAAAAATAAGAAAGTCAAATAAATATGGATTAACCATAGAGATGCAGAATGGTAGAAAGTCTGTCTATAAACAGTATCCACTCTAGGAAACCTAAGAACTCAGTGATTATCACTGATTTGAAATTCTCAGGAAGGCAAATAGTTAAGAGAAGTATGGTATATCAATATGCCTGTAGATCCCCTAAACACTAACTCCTGACTTTCAGAAAAGACAGCAATAATGTAGTAGGGACATCCAAGGGCTTTAAGCGGGGGGAAATGGCCTTTCTCAGTGCTAAGAACAAGGCAATACCCAGCAAACATTGGATGATATATTGATGGGTAGAATAACCTCCAACCTCAGTGTATTGCTGAGTTACAAGCTCAGGAGTTGGCCCCAAAACCATATAAAAGTCCAAAATGCCTCCTGTGGTGCGGTATGTCAGGGCAGGAGTAGGCTGGAATGTCACATCTGTTAAAAAAAAAGAAGGTGAGGAGTATCCTTGGAACTATAAATCACCCAGTCAGGGAATCTGCCCTAAATTTTGCTATTTTCACTTTCTTACGTTCTTATTTTAATGCCCACCTCCTCTAATAAGCCATCTCCCATAAAGTAGAATCAGAGAGGGATATTCAGATACCTCAAACATAATCTCAGTCTCAACATCTTATTATCACTTTGTGAGAAAGAGCTAAAAGGTACAGTAAAATAAGGTCACACAAGATAGGCACTGTGTTTAGTGAAAATTGTACCCCTATACCTGGCCTAATGCTCTTAGTAAAACTTGAATAAATGAATGAATGGTAGGTGAGTTTATCTGTTTCATTTCCCTTGCCCTTGACTTTCCTTATTTCTGTTGATATTCCAGATCGCCGAAAGCGGTCCCAGATGTTTCTGGTGGTACACAGGGATTCTGTGTCTGTCTTACCCATGGCATTGCTGTTCAGTAGGAGCACTCCGTGGGCACTGCCATCCTCCTCCAGGGCCATGTAGTAGGGGTGGACACCATAGGAGTTCCTCTTGTACTAGGAGGGTTGTGGGAAGAGCAGGAGGGTAATCAAGAAGAGAAAATTCAAGAAATCATTTTCACATCATAACCCAAACAGCAAACTCCTGCGCAGTATTGCAGATTCAGTACAATGTCATGTCTCTTGTGAAGACTTCCTTGACCCTTCCTTCCATCCCAGGTGAAAACCTAAGTGCCCTCTCCCCCATGACTTCTTTGTTTATTACTATACAAATCTATTGCAGCACTGGTTACACCACATTACCATTATTTCTGCCTCTCTCTCTCTTTCTCTTTTACTAGTTTATAAGCATCTGGAGAAAAAGGCAGTGTCTTAATAAGACACTGTCTCATTCTATGTGTGCCCGACATGTAGAACATATTAAATAAGAGTTTATGAAATAAATAAAATCCATAGTCCACAGGAAATATATATATAAATAGGTAGTTTAGGGACAGAAAGGAAGGAGAACCTTAAATATGGTGTATTTCATCTGAGAGCAGAATATACAGGGATTAAACTAAATTTACATAGAGTAAAAATATTGATGATTTTGGTCTGTGCTTACCGCTGGTGGCTCATCTCGGGCAAACATCCCCCACGTGTGCCAGCTGATGTTTCTTCTGAAAGTTGTATGCTCAGTTTCCCCAAAGCCATAGAGGTACTCAGAGGGGAGGCGTGTGGAGACGGAGAGGAACATGTCCCTGAAGGTGAAGCCGGGGAGCTGAGAGTCCCAACTGCAACACGAGAGCAGACCTTGGTTCAGAGCTGGGCACAGGCCAGCGCAAACACGGGCTCCACGGGGATCGATTCCGAAGCCTCCTGAGTGGCTGAATATCTGGATCCATGCTCAAATGCTGTGAGACGACCCCGGTCATAACAATGGCCGTAACTCACTGCCAAGGTCCCGTGTTGGCGTCTTTATTTGTCATCTGTCTTTTGCAAGGCTGAGAATTCCTTTACTGGGTCCTGGGTTCCTGGACCATCACCCTCATCTCTGTATTTCTACGTCTCCTTGCCCAACATATCAGCTTGAATAAATGCATGAATGAATGGATAAGATAGAAGCACATTTTTCTGTGGAAAATGTGATACTCTTACAATGGTTTTCTGGATTGGCCAAGAACTTCTTACCAAAGAAGGGAACAGACAGAAAGTCAGACATACAGTCAGAGAGAGCTGACAGCACACGTGTGCACCCAGGTCATGATTTATACATGGATGGGGAACCTCAGCCCCAGGCAAAATCCAGACCTTCACTCCAGTCCGCTCAGCAGCAGGACAAGGGATGAGAGATGACAGCTCCTTTCATGCTTACCACTGTGAAGAGGCTTTGAGTTTCGAATGTCGATAGAAGCAAAGGCTGTAAGAAGCCACTTTGCCCTCCTCAGTAACCTTTGTCCTTCTCTCCTGACTCTTCTGTTATTAGTTCTTAATGAGAGGATATAGAACTGATTTCTATCATGGGTTATGTCATACTTATTAAATAGAGTTTCCTGTCCTACTTAACAGGAACAAAGAATAGAACATGTATTTTCCTTTCTCTAAAAACAAGTACCGCTTAATTAGCTTGTGTAAACCTTTGGTTGATTCATTTTTCTTGTTAAGGCCTAATGGAAAATTAAATCCTTATTGAAGTAGGGGAAATAGATACATTCTTCATTGAACATATTGGCATAGAATCTCTAAAATTAATATTTCACTTGCAGTCATGAGAGCCACTATAATTAGATCTAGAATCACTCTGCTGCTGCTGCTGCTGCTAAGTCACTTCAATCGTGTCCGACTCTGTGCGACCCCGCAGAACCAAATAAAGAGGGCTTACATCACAGTTCTGGAGCTTTTTCTTCGAATCTGGATCCCAAAAGGATTGTTCTGAATTTTGACATCATACAGACGGTTTTCAGGGGAGCCCACTGGAGATGAAGGGGTGTTCAGAGGCACTGGGACCTCGTACCTTTTATTAGTGGGATCATAGATCTGCCAAGAAGAGAGAAGGAAGATTCTTCATGGAATCTCAGGCCTACAATTCCTTGTGCCAGCTTATATCAAATACAATTCAGTTTCCATGTTTTCTGGCTGGTCTGAACATATCAGGAGGCATCAACTATCCTGAAACAAACACGTGTGAGGCCTACCCACCCACTGGGCCCATTATGGAGCCTGAACTCCAAAAATGCCTCAATATGACCTATTCAAAGCCAGCAAGGACACTTCTAAAAAATTTGTGATATAAGGGTATAGAATCTCATGGATAGAATGTGTGTGTGTGTGTGTGTGTGTGTGTGTGTGTGTGTGTTTATGAGGGTGTGGTATGGGAACATGCATGTGTATACAGTACCTTATGTGTGAGCATGTGAGTATATGTTAGAAATTAAAGAATTGAATTTATTTATGGACACTGAGGTCTTCTTACTGGTGGAATTTCCAGATGTTGTACAGTTTTTCCATCCCTAAGATGGCTCTCTTGCTTGTCCCACTGCTTGTCCCTATTTACCTGACAGGTATGATGTGTGGGGAAAATGAGAGAAGGGAAGAATGTTGTTGGAGGCCCTGGAGTACTGCCAGGATGAGCAAGCATCCTCTTCCTTATCATACTATTAGCCAACTTTTTACACTTCAGACAAGTCTCTTTTCTTGATAGGTAAGAAGTGGATTTATTTAGAGAGAAACACACTTCACAGACAGAGTGTGGGCCACCTCAGAAGGCAAGAACCACCTCAAAATATGACATGGTTAGTTTTTATGGGCTGGGTAATTTCATAGGCTAAAGAGTAGGAGGAATTATTCCAACTATTTCAGGAAATGGGCAGGGGTTTCCATGAATTGAGCCACCGCCCACTTTCTAGCCCTTTATAGTCAGCCTCAGAATTGTCTTGGTGCCTGTGGGTGCATCATTTGGCTTGCTGATGCGTTACAATGATCCTATATTGAGGATCAAGAGGCTCAAAGTCTAGTGGAAATTGACTTGTCTGCCATTTTGGACCCATTTGGATCTAATCAATTTATGTCCTGTCCTCAGGTTTTATTATTCTCTTGTGCCCTGTCCCCTTCCCTCCTGTTTCAGACAAGTTTTCTCTAAAGCTTGGCTTCTCAATATTGTGTTTGTCAGGCCAAAAGCAGCTTTCACAGTGTTTCACAGTGTTAAGCAGGATCACCAGGGAACTTGTTAAGACCACAGAATCTCAGCCTCACCCCAGACTTTCTGAATCTGGCTCTTCATTTTCGTAAGATCTCTGAGGTGACTCATCAAACACTAAAGCGTGAAAAGCAACATCTAGAGCTGACATGTCCAAGGAGGTACCCACCACATGTGGCCATGAAGCCCTTGAATGTGCTGTTCGAATTGAGACTCACTATGAGTACAAAACACACAGCCAATTTTGAAGACCTAGTATGGTTAAATTGTGTTTGGATTACATGGTAATATGATAATATTCTAGCATATTGGTTAAATAAAATGTTACTAAAATTAATTTCATTTATTTTTTTCCAAATACATTTTTAAAACTATAGTTATTAGAAAACACATGGGGACTTCCCTGCTGGTCCAGGGATTAAGAATCTGCCTTGTAATGCAGGGGATGTGGGTTCCTTCTTCGGTCATGGAACTAAGCCCCTGCACCACAACTAGAGAGTCCATGTACTGCAACAAAAGACCCCACATGAGGCACTGAAGACCCATGGATCAGACTGCATTTCTATTAGAGTGGAGAGAAGATGTGTGAGAGTCCCTTGGACTGCAAGGAGATCCAACCAGTCCATCCTAAAGGAGATCAGGCCTGAGTGTTCACTGGAAGGACTGATGCTGAAGCTGAAGCTCTCCAATACTTTGGCCACCTGATGCGGAGAGCTGACTCATTGAAAAAGAGCCTGATGCTGGGAAAGACTGAAGGTGAGAGGAGAAGGGGACAACAGAGGATGAGATGGTTGGATGGCATCACCAACACAATGGACATGAGTTTGAGCAAGCTCCAGGAGTTGGGATGGACAGGGGAGCCTGGCGTGCTGCAGCCCATGGAGTTGCAAAGAGTTGGACATGACTAAGTGACTGAACTGAGTGGGTCTCCAAGAGTGGTCCCTGAAGTTACAGCATCAGCACCACCTGGAAACTTGCTAGCAGTGCAGATCCTCGGGTTGGAAACTCTGGGGGATCAGGCCAGCCATCTTTTAACAAGATCGGCCGGTGATTCTGATACAGGTGCGGGTGCTAAAGCTTGAGAACCACAGCTAGAGAAATAACCCTGATGTCAGAAGTGGGTTGTTGCCACTTAAATGACTTACCACACAGCAGACACACTTTTTTGAGGGCTAAAGGACTCTTTGAGGATACTCATGACTTAGAGTACTCACTGTTATAAGAAATTACCACCCCCAGTGATCTAAGGTTACATCCCACCCCAACTCTCTCCTAACTTTCTGATCTTCACCTCCTGGGGCCTCAGCAGCCCCACTTGTAAAATGAGGGAGTTGGATTAAACCTGTTTCAATGTCTTCCAGCTGCATGGAGCTGTCAGCTAAGAATTTCAACCATGGAGACACAGGACTACCTTGAACTGTAGCATGTTCTCTGTGTGGTAGATCACACTCAGGCGGAGAAAGCCGATGGCTGCAGAGAGAGTGTCGGAGGCAGAGGCGGCCTTCGCTGCGGCTGCAGGTGGGGGTAGCTTGTCCTGTGATGATGGTGGTGGCACCGTGGCTTGTGCAGCTTCCGAGGCTGTCAGGTGGGTGAGGTCTACGGTGATGCCCGTGGGCAGGTACTGAATGTTGCTGGCAGTATAATTAGGGATGGTGTCGTAGAAACAGGTGGGCACCCCAGGAACAGTCGTGGGCTGGAACAAGAGGAGGACCTCAAGGTCAGCCTCTGACACCACGCTTCGAGACTCTAATTACAGAAGAAGGTGGTTAAACCAGACTCAGCCTCTTACTCTATGCCCATTGCTATGAGTTGAGCTATATTCCCCAAAGAGATGGTAAGTCCTAGCCCCTGGTACCTGTGAATAAGGTACCTGGTGCCTTGGTTGGAAATACAATCTTTGCAGCTGATCAAGTTGAATGAGGTCATTGGGACAGAGCTAGCCATTATAACTAGTGTCCTTAGTAAAAGGGGAAACTGAGGCACAGACATGCACCTGGAGAGAACATCATGTGAAGACGAAGAGGTCAGGGTGATGTTTGTATAAACCAAGGAGCCCTGCAGATTGCCAGCAAACCACCAGAACCCAGGAAAGGGACACGAAACAGATTTTCCCTCTTGGTCCCTAGAAAGCATCAACTCTGTGGACAGTTTGCTCTCAGACTTCCAGCTCCCAGATGCTGAGATAATAAATGTCTGTTGTTCTAAGTCACCCAGTTTGTGGTACTTGGCTATGGCAGCCCTAGCAAATGAATACATCCATTTAAACATACACAGGGATTTCCTTGGTGGTTGAGTAGCTAAGACTCCGAGCGCCCAATGCCGGGGGCCTGGGTTGGATCCCCGGTCGGAGAAACGGATCCCACATGCCTCAGCTAAAGGTCCCACATGCCACAACTAAGACCCAGCACAACCAAATAAACAAATAAAAATAAAGAAAATAACACACACACACACACACACTGGCCTCATCTAACGGTGAAGGGCCTGCAGGAGACCTATCTGGAGACTGAGTTCTAAAGCAGGGCTCTGCTCCCCGTGTCCTTACTGTCCATTATTGTGATCCCAAGGGCATCACTGATTTTCTCTGGCCTTCGTTCTCTCTATTTCTCAAAGGGAGAGAAACAGCATTACCTTATCTTTCTGCTTGGACTCACCAACAGATGGGAGGGAAAATCACTTAAAATACTCAGTGCATTCCCACTGCATTATAGCCATGTTCGGGACAAAGTGGGATTTGAAATGCTGTGGTTGTAGGAAAGAGAGAGTCAGTGAGCTGGTCCTTATTCAGGTCTCTGAATGAAACACTGATCGCCTATCACATGCGACTGATAGAAACACCTCATCAGTTGCCATAGCATCATTTGCTTCCTGAAGATGATTACAGTTTAATCTATCAACATTTGGAAAGTGTTTCCTGGGTAACCAGTTACCCATGGGACACTTTTTACAGCTTCCTGCTCACTGGGGCAGTCTGCTCCTGGTCCTTACCTCCCAAAGGCACCCCCGCTCCCTGCAACTCTCCTCGGAGACAGCGGGCTGCTCAGGAAAGCAGTTGAACTTCTGCAGGTCACTGACCGGAAGATCCCACTGAATGGAGAATGTTTGTCCCAGTACCAGTCCCTTGAGGTCAGTGATGTTCACCACCTGAGGAAAGAGGAAGGGGCGTGATGACACATGAGACGAGGTGCAGCTGCCTGGATAATGTCCTTCTGTGATGGTCATGTAGTCAGGACCAGGGAAACCAGCCGTCTGACCAACACCGCTTTGAAGTAGGAAATTCGTAATTCTCTTTTTTCTTCTCCTCTGGGTCTTTCAACCTCTCTGTCAGGAAAATGAATCTGACTTCCTCCAGACCTTTCTGAGCTCACGGAGCCAATGTGGGATATTGAATGGAAAGAGTTTCAATCTTGTTAAGGAACACAGATCACAGGCAGGGAGGTCGTTTCAGATTCATTGTCCCCTGGGCACGGGGCTCAGACATTTTACTAACAATGGCAGTAATGACCAGAGCTAAACTTTACTGAGTCTGTCAAGCACTGTGATAATCACTTCATATGCATATCGCTATGAGTCCTGTAAAGTAATCCTATGCTATGAATAATATGACTATCTCAGTTTTACAAATCACAACACTGAGGTTCAGAGAGGTTTACTGTTTTGCTCAAGATCTCACAGCTGGGGCTCAGCAGAGCTAGTATTAGAACCCTATTCTGCCTAACCCTAAAAAGTAAGCTCTTGTCCTTTTCTATGTGTGTTGTCAAGGTGGAAGGGGGCAGGGACTTCCCTGGTGGTCCAGTGGTTAGATTCTGCACTCCCAATGCAAGGGCAAGGGTTCGATCCCCGATCAGGGAACTAAGATTGTGCATGCTACACCATGCGGCTAAAAGAAGATTTAAAAAATAAAAATAAAATTAAAAAGAGGGCTGCCCTAAGGAACAGTGAATTTCCCAGTGCTTGAAATATTAACTAGCGACTGGGACTTTTCTTTTTGAATGATTATCACATAAGGGAAACATTCCATAGAATAAAAGCAGATTACTCTTTGTGTTTGATTAAATTCTCATTTTCAGCAGTGGTATAAAAATAGTTTAGAACAGGAAGGAAAAATGGCAACTGTGTCTCAAAGATAAGTCCTTAATGTAAATGAGAGAACATAGGTGTCATTGTTCTCCAGAACTAGGCCAATGTATTGAATCATATTTTCTCTATCACATCTGACATTAGCACATCTACTTTTAAATAGCCCAGAGAAGAACTGCCTTCTTCAAGGGTATTAACTCCTACTGCCTGCTTCAGTGTCCCGACGCAAGCAAAGCTTCAGGGTCCATATCGAGCACGCACAGATTTCTCCTTCTACATTCTCCCTGTGGTTCCCCAGCAAGCCGGCTGGCTCTGTGCCCACCCAGAGACAACAGAGCAAGAACGAGCTGACTGTCCGAAGCTCAGGCGAGGGCTGTGGGCAGGGGCACCGCAGCAAGAAACAATATCCCACCTTCGTTGATTCTGTGTAGGCAACGTTTGAAATGGGGGTGGTAGCATCATTTAGGGAGACAGTAAAATTAGTAGGTTTCTTGTCCATTCCCAAGATTGTGATATCTGTAAATGTGAGTTTGTCGGGGTCCGTATAATTAGCATGTATAATCGTTGCCAGGAGACGATTCTGTGGGGAAAAGAAGTCAGTTTAGAGACCAGGTATATCTCATTCTGATTGTGTCCAAATGCCTTTCCATATCTTTCTGAGGTCCCAAGAGATCCTTTACCTGTGAGGTTCTAAATGGTGCCGGGTGATCACCCCAGGGAATTTTTCAAGTGAAACTTGTAACTGTGTTTAAGTAATCTTTTAGTAATATTATGTACTTGTTTTAGTTTACTGGTTCTTTATTTGATTCTATTACTCAGAAAGTATGTTGCTGACACCATGGAATTCTCAAACAGACAAAATGACACATGTACAAAAAGAGACACATAGGCATGTGAAGATATACACATTCATACACATACAAAATAATGCCCAAATAATTATTTTTTCATTTAATGATAATGATGATAGCTAAAATTTATGAATGTTCACTGTGTGCCAGACCTTGTGCTAAGCATTTTACATGTATCATCTCATTCAATTCTCACAGCAAACTCTGAGACTGAGGCTCTAATAATCCCCGTTCTTCAGATGAAGAGCCTAAAGCCAAGATAATGTAGAAAACCTATCCAGGGAACCACAGTTCAAAAGTGACAAAGTTGAGTGATGACAAAAAGGTAGAACCAATGACTGAAGATAAAAAGGGACATTTTGAGGTTTAAAAAAATTAAGCATCCCACAGATACATGTCCAAATGATTTTTTACAAAAGCAGTGTAATGGAGAAAGGACAGCCTTTTCAACAGATGATGCTGGAGCCATTGGACATCCATAGGCAAAACGCAAAATTCAACCTAAACCTCATGTCTTATATAAAAATTAACTCAAAATTGGGAGTTCCCTGGTGGTCTAGTGGTTAGGACTTGGCGCTTTCACTGTCATGGCCTGGATTCAGTCCCTAATTGGGGAACTAAAGTCCCATAAGACCTGCAGTGTGGCTCAAATTTTTCTTTTAAATTTAATCTAAAAAAATTAACTCAAAATAGGTAATAAACTTAAATATAAAGGGTAGAATTATAAACATTTTAGGAAAAAATGGGAGGAAGTACTGAAGAACTATGAAGAGTTCTTATACTAGACACCAAAAACATGATCCATAAATGATAAAATGGAAAAAATGATAAATTAGACCTTTGAAAATTAAAAATTTTTCCTCTGAGAAAGACTGTTAAGAAGATGAAAAGAGCAACCTACAGACTGAAAGAAAAAGAAAATTTACAAACTATGTATCCAAGAAGGGAACTCTCAAAGCTGAACAGAAAACTAAGTTAAACAAGCCAATTAGAAAATGGGCAGAACTGGAACATTTTATCTAAGAGAGTATACAGCTGGCTAGTGAAAAGACACATGAAAAGATGGTCAACATCATTAAATGCCAGAGAAATACAAATTGAAACCACAATGAGCTATCACTGCTGCTGCTGCTAAGTCACTTCAGTCATGTCCGACTGTGCAACCTCAGAGGCGGCAGCCCACCAGGCTCCCCTGTCCCTGGGATTCTCCAGGCAAGAACACTGGAGTGGGTTTCCATTTCCTTCTCCAATGCCTAAAAGTGAAAAGTGAAAGTGAAGTTGCTCAGTTGTGTCTGACTCTTAGCAACCCCGTGGACTGCAGCCTACCAGGCTCCTCCATCCTTGGGATTTTCCAGGCAAGAGGACTGGAGTGGGGTGCCACTGCCTTCTCTGGAGCTATCACTACACCTTTATCAAAATGGCTAATTTTTTTTTTTTTTTTTTAGTGTGATAACATCAAATGCTGGTTACAATGCAGAGAAACTGGGTGACATACACTGGTGGTGGAAATGTAAAATAGTACAGCCATTCTGAAAAAGAATTCAGCAGTTTCTTATAAAACTAAGCATATAGTTACATAATACCCAGCAACTGCACTCTTGAGCATTTATCCCAGACAATTGAAAATCTGTGTTCACATAAAAATCTGTTCCTAGCAGCTTTACCTGCAATATCCCATGACTGGATTATTAGTCCCAGATTCCCTTACTTAAGTGCATAGTTAAACATATCTTGGAATGCTGCTCAGCAATAAAAACAAACTGACTTTTGACATGGAAAAGCTTGGATGAATTTTGAGGAAATTATGTTGCATTAAAAAAGCCACTTGCCAAGGCTTCATGCTGTATGATTACATTTACATAACATTTTTGAAAGGACAAAATTATAGAAATAGAGAGAAAATTTGTGGTTTCCAAGAGCTAAGGATGAAGTTGAGGCTTGGGGCAGGTGGAGGCAAGTAGATTGGACAACAGGAGAGATCCTTCTGACCATGGAAATATTCTGCATCTTGATAGTGAGAGGGTAACAGGCATGAACGCTAGGGGTCTCCAAATGGAGGAAATAGGTTGCAAGTGTCAGACTTTTTTTTGTCTCTCTATATATACAAAATTAAAAGGAGATTTCTCTTAAAATTCTGTGTTGCCATGGCAACATCTGGTTCCACCTGAACTTGACTTTTTTCAAACCTTGAGCCAACCAATGTGTTTTTCTTATGGAAATGTTTTTCTTAAGCTATGTTAATGAGCTGTGTATTTACCCTAGACTCTGTCTTTCTTCAAGTTGGTTCCACCTAAGACTCAGAACCAACTTGACACACCAGTGTGTTTTACTCATGCAAATGTTCTCTTAAGCTATGTTAATGAGACTACGTATTTGCTTGAAAACCTGACTTTCTTCAAGATTCATGTCAATCATTTTATGGCCCGGGATGATGTTATCATCATTTAAGATGATGTTATCTTAAAATACATGTTGTGGGTGAGGGGCCTTGTGCTACTCTCCAAGTTTTGAGACATTTCCTTTCTCTAATTAGCAGACTGCTAGTAGCTATATAACTCCCTTCTAAAGATTAGCATGGGGTGGGGGGGGTGGGGGGAGTGGGCACTCTTTCTGCCCCCTTCTGATATCTATGTCAGAAGCTTCCTCTATCTCTTTTATACTTTAATAAAACTTTAATACACAAAAGCTCTGAGCGATCAAGCCTCATCACTGGCCCCGGATTGAATTCCTCTCCTCTGGAGGCCAAGAATCCCGACGTCTTTCATGGCTCAGCAACAGCCTTTCAATAGCATAGATGTCAACATTCTTGTTGTAAAATTGTACTATAGTCTTATAAGATGTTCCAATTAGGGGAAACTGGGTTAAGAGTACAAGGGAACTCTATTATTTCTTATAACATGGGGCTCTATAATTATGTCAACATAAAAAGTATCATTTAAAAAGCAATATGAGACTTCCCAGACTTCCCTGGTGGCCCAGACAGTAAAGAATCCACCTGCATTGCAGGAGACCTGGGTTCGATCCCTGAGTTGGGACGATCCCCTGGAGGAGGGCATGGCAACCCATTCCAGTATTCTCGCCTGAAGAATCCCCATGGACAGAGGAGTCTGGTGGGCTGCAGTCCATGGGGTCGCAAAGAGTCAGACAGCACTGAGCAACTCAGCATATGGGACTTCCCTGGTGGTACAGTGATTAAGAATCTGTGTTGCAATGCAAGGGATGTGGGCTTGATTCCTGGTCAGGGAACTAAGATCCCACATGTCATGAAGCAACTAGCCCATGCATGGCAACTAGAGCCAAATTCAGCCAAATAAATAAACATTTAAAAAATAAAAGGCAATATGAATTTAAAAGAAAGAAGAAATAAGGGAGAGAGAGTTCCACACAAGAAAGCTCTGCCCATGCACAAACAGACACCTAAGAAAACCAATTCGGCGTTCTCCCATCCCCTTCCAGCCTTACTGCCATTCTTCCTCTTAGTCCCCCTGAGAAGCAGACTCCAGGCAAGTAATGCACTGCATCTCCTAATCTCTCAAAGCCACCACTTAATACCTGTGTCCAAGGCCAAGCTTTAGGGGCTAGAAAGGAAGTTCCTTGATGGAACAACTTCAAAAAGGCTCTACATACCTCATCACCCCCCATCCACACACCACCCACTTGTATCCTCTCAAATAAGGACACATCTTGGAAGCCCAGACTCATCATATAAAACTCGAAAGCAATCTTTTTTTTTTTTTTTTTTCAGAAAAACAGACAACTTCTTCACCAAACTCATGCTGATTTTCTATTGGTTTATGTTTCTAACACAGATTAAAATTTTTCATTTTAATGCTAATCCTTTCTGGGACTGTGGCACTGAGGCACTGCCCACAAAGGCAAGCAGCTCCAGAAAACCCAAAACTTAAAACAGCAGTCACAGAAAAGAGCATGCACTGGGGGTTCCCCCAAAACAGTACTTACAGAGGTGACGGAGAAACTATACAGAATATAATTATTTCCAGTTACAGCATCTGAAAGAGAAAGATGGAGGAGGGACAGTTACTACAGGAAGCAGAACAGTTGGGCATCCTCTTCTCTCCACTGGGAATGCCTCTGCCAACTAGCTCTGCTCACCCAAGTTCTACCTGTTTTTTGCAGACTCCACAGAGGTCTCCTGGACCACTCCAACCGCCGGTAACTACTCCCCCCTCTGAACTCCATGGCATAGGTGGAACCATTTTGTTGGCATTTAAAGCGTTTTGGGGGGCTTCCCTGGTGGCTCAGTGGTAAAGAATCTGCTTGCCAGTGCAGGAGATCTGGGTTCGATCCTTGGTCCCAGATGATCCCACATGCCATGGGGCCACTAAGTCTGTGCACCACAACTGCTGAGCTTGGGAGCCACAACTACGGAAGCCCACATACCCCAGAGCCTGCGCTCCACCACAAGAGAAACCACCGCCATGAGCAGCCCTCGTCCGTCACAAGAGAAAAAGCCCACACAGCCATGACGACCCAGCACAGCCGAAAATAAATAATACAGTAAATAAACAAATAATTAAAAAAACATTTTGACTTGCATTTGCAGTTATCTACACGCCCTTCCTCTCTCTGGACCAAGACTTCCTCAAGGGCAATGGCTGTCCTGTGTGCTAAGTCATTTCAGTCGGGTCTGACTCTTTGTGACCCCATTATTATAGCCCGCCAGGCTCCTCTGCCCATGGGAATACTCTGGGCAAGAATACTGGAGTGGGGTGCCATGCCCTCCTCCAGGGGATCTTCTAGACCCAGGGATCTCACCTGCATCACTTATATCTCCTGCCTTTGCAGATGGGATCTTAACCCACTGAGCCACCGGGAAAGTTTAGGCCCTGCACATAGCCCAATAATAAATAGCCAAGAACTATTAATAAATGCTAATTCTATGTAGGACAGATTTTTATATAATGAGACCCGAAGTTTATGTGAGGTACTTATATGTGAAAAAAACACTGCACAAATTAGATACTTGCCTCTCAATAGCAACCAAGGCAATATTTTACATTCTATTAATAAATTATAGCTTCCATTGGAGAAGGCAATGGCAACCCACTCCTGTGTTCTCGCCTGGAGAATCCCAGCGATGGGGGAGCCTGGTGGGCTGCCATCTATGGGGTCGCACAGAGTCGGACACGACTGAAGCGACTTAGCAGCAGCAGCAGCAGGTGGTGCTAGTGGTAAAAAAAAAATCTGCCTGCCAATGCAGGAGACATCAGAGCTTCAGGTTTGATCCCTGGGTCAGGAAGATCCCCTGAAGTAGGAAATGGCAACCTGTGCCAGTATTCTTGCCTGGGAAATTCTATGGACAGGTGAGCCTGGCGGGCTACAGGCCATGGGGTCACAAAGAGTCAGACGCAACTGAGCACATATACACATTAACATAATGTACTATTCTGGCATTAATAATGACATCCAGAGAACAGGATAAACTAAATCCAATAATATCTTTTGCTTTGGTAGAGTCAATAACACACAAGTTGCTCATTTGAAGTCTATTTTAATGTATGTATTTGACTAATGGAACTTAAAGAATGCATTGATTCTAAGCTTTAGAAATAAGCATCAGTGATAACAAAGCTCGTGCATACTGGGCAGTCTGCCAAGATGAACTGCCATTGAGAAGCGCAGAGATGGGACCATAAAGAAGTCTACCTTTAGAGACACCGTCATCCCAGTACAGTTCTCCCTTTGCTTCTCGCTTATAGTCCAAGGCAATGATGAGTCCCAGAGAGTTCTTCCGGCTGTAAAAGAGCAATTCTCAGTTTCAGAGAATGAAGAAAAGATAAAATGGTCTTAAGCCAGCCCCCTTCATGCCCCAGGAACAGACCATCTTGGAGACAATCTCAGGTATTAAGTAGATGCTGATGCTGTCTGAAAACACGGAAGCTGGGTGTGCGTAGACAGCAGAGACAAGTAGTGAATGAGCTTAAGAACAGTAGATGGAGGCAGTTTCTGCTGAGAACCGCACTTGTGATAATACTAACAATTAGTACTTACTGGATGCTTTCCACGTGGCAGGCACTCTTCTAAGCATCCTATATGCCTTAAACCATTTCTATTATTTCATCTGAGCCTCTTAATAACTCTAAAAAGTTGAAATACCACCATCTCCAGTTTACTAATGATGAGCAGAGACACATACAGTAAGTTGCCCGTGGTGACACTTCTTGTATGTAGCAGAGCTGAGGCTCGAACCCCAATTTTCTGACTCTTGACCTTAAACCTATGTTGACTTTCATCTCTTACCTCCTATTAACTTGCATTGTCTCATGCCTAAGGAAATCTACTTGAAGACGCTTTCTGACCTGGGGAATCCTCATGAGTGATTATTTTAACCATCCTTACAATTTGATGCAATTTACAAGTGAAAGACAATGGGAATGTAAAGGAACTGAGACTACATTTATCCCCTGCTAAATGAAGATGCCACTTCTGGGCTTGAGAGGAAGTGAGTAAGATGAGTTACTGTAGCTATTTTCCCTTAGTTGATCCACTTTCAGTTCCAATTTTTCTTTCCCATAACACTCTGCCCCCTTATAAGAGTAAGGAGCTTACCTGGCCTCTGTGGTGGTGTTTGGCTTCTGGGTGGGAAAGATGTAGCCCCCTCGGAGGTGAAGTCCTATCTTATCACCTGGCAGAAGCATCTCCACAAACTGTTTCCTCCATTCTATGGCTACTTGCTAGCCAACAAAAGGGGAAAAGACCAGATAATACATTGTTTGGGCTACAAGTGACATTGGAATTATCTAGTTCAGTTGCTTCATTTTAAAGAAGAGAAAAACAGAGGACCCCCCACCACCACACCTCCCAAAGTGAAGTGACTTGCCCAAGGCACATAGGAAATAGCAGAGCCAAGACTCCAGTCTATCCTATTTCCTTATATTACACCATGCTGTGTGTGATTCCACACTTGGGTTTTAATTCTGTCGATCATCACAACCTAAGGCCCACTACTAGTCCACATAGCTGCAGAATAGCCAGTCAAATCTCCTGAAAATTTCCATAAGCCTACTCTAGTTATTCAAATTATTTCATTGTACCCCAGGAAAGGCCTTCTTCCCAGGAATGCACCCATAAGCAACTAAGTGTAAAGCCTTGTTCTATTAGCCTACCCCAAGCGCCCAAGACTACTGCCTCACTCACCGTTTCATAGTCGTACCAGATGGCGTCAGGTATGTATGCTCTTGCATAGTTCAAACCCTGGGGAAACATAACGGTGAGCAACACTGGCACAACCCTTTACAGTTTACACAACACCCTCACCCGTGGTGGTGTGTGCTCACTGCAACACTCCTGAGAGAAAGTTGGGATCACACATCCTACACGTAAAATCCTCAGAAAAACTGGGCAGATTAACCAAAACAGAGCTGTTCCTAGAAATGAAGACTGTTTTGCTTGGAGACTGCTGAGAAAAGCAGAGAAAGCGTATTCCCTGGGTCCCTTGTGTAATCTGATAGAAGGAGCATGAAGCAGCTAGGCCCTCCAGAGAGCTTTGTAGGAGGACTACTTGTGAGCTAGCAGGACCTACCATGAAATGCTGGGGCTAAAATATCAGCTCCAAGGGCCTTTGACTTGAGTCCATGGGCCATCTCTCATGTTTATAAACAGATCAGCATAATCCTGACCCCTCTCCTACTCTTCCCTACTCACCCCTGCCCTTGATTCTACTTGGTCCTTCCTACAGGGACTCCAGAGTAACACCCTCCCCTTCCCCAGCACCCCTCTCTCCCTCCACACTCTTCTCCCCACCTCTTCTCTTCCCCCACCCCGACTTTAGGAAACACATCCCGTCTGGTCAATGGCAAGCACAGACAGATGATCAGCCTGAACTCCCAGGTATACAAATCCCCCATCAGTACCAAGGCCACATGCTTAAGGAAACAAGCTTTAAGGTAATTTTGCAAAATGGAGATTGCTTTGCTTGGCAAATTGAGAGTGAGATCAATAGTTACTACTTTTTATAATTTCCAAATTGTCATGCTCTCTCCCTCCTATTTGTAGTCAGATTTATCTTTAAACACAGACACTCAAGACCCAGCTTATTCCGCTGTAGATCCACGAGAACAAGTGGGAGAGTCCACCCCATTGTTCAGATTATAAACACACTTCATATAAAACAGGAGTGATGAGGAGTCCAGGTCCCCAGAGGAACTGCTCATGCACCTCCCAGGTAGCTGGGTCCTGGTAGAACCTGGAAAACAGAGAAGGCAGGTAAAGCCTGAGTACAGAACAGCCGAACATGGTTTGGCAGCAGGGTCCTAACTAACCTTGTTGCTACTAGCAAGGTAAGTGACGTTATGATCTGAAAGGGAGTCTTTGCAGGTCAGGAAGCTTACTCGTGGACGAGGGGCCTTGCTACGGTCTCCCCCAGGGTATGAGCTCGGTAGAAAAGGGTGTAGAGATAGGGCAGCAGGGTGTAGCGGATGTTCAGATAGTATCTGGAGGATTCCAACAGCATAGCATTGTTTTCACTGAAGGCAGCAGGATCCTGGTCCTAGAAGGAAATGTAAGCAATTACTAAATATTTCCATCAAGTCTCTGAAGCTCTCTGGGGATAAGAAGCTTTCTCAAGTGAAAGCAGTCATATTTCCCAATTCAGAGGATGTTAAAGCATTTCTAGAACTGCAAGGATCTTGGTTCTTCTTATTCATTTTATAGATGGAAAAATAGTATCAAAGATTACATGACTTCCCCAATGTCAAGAGTGGCAGAGTTTAAATTTGATACATCTGCCAGTCTATGATGCATCTGCAGCCTCAGGGTGATCAAGAGGCCTCCAGAAGTGGCCATGGAGATAAAGGGGCTATAGTGGGCCCTGCTCCCCTAGAGCTGTTGCTCCAATGTATGTTATTTATTAAGGTTTCTGATAATACTTCACTTGGCATATAATGCAATAAAGTTGTGAAAACTGAAAGTGTTGTTGCTCGGTCTTGTCTGACTCTTTGTGACCCCACGGACTATAGCCTGCCAGGCTGCTCAGTCCATGGAATTCTCCAGGCAAGAATGCTGGAGTGGATTGCCATTCTCTTTTCCAGGAGATCTTCCCAACCCAGGGATCGAACCCAGGTCCCCCACATTGCAGGTAGATTCTTTACCATCTGAGCCACTCCTACTATTTGAAACCAATGGCCTTAAGCCACACTGCCTACCACCATGATGTGCAATCCTTCTCTCCCTTTCCTTACAGTTTTGGAAATTTGCAATTTTAAAATTTATGTCTGGTTTTGTCTGTAATGTTTTCATCATCAAAATATGTTTTATTTTCTCTATTCCAAAGACAGTGACTTCTATTTGTTCTTCAATGTACAATGTGCAAAAAAAAAAAAATCATGAATATAGCTTTTAGTAGATAGTGTTGTCTTTTAGTCAATGAGTCAAGTCCAACTCTTCGTGATCCCATGGACTGTAGCCTGCCAGGCTCCTGTCCATGGGATTTCTCAGGCAAGAGCAATGGAGTAGGTTGCCATTTCCTTCTCTAGGGAACTTCTAGCAGGTGAGCTCATTGAGCCACGGGAAGCCCCTAGTAGATTTTATCCAAGAACAGACCAAAAAAACCCTTTTAGATGGAAAACCTAATTTGCTTCCCAGAAACAGAAATTTTCCATTAATGATGAGCAGTTGTTATGTTCATTTTCACTATAATTGGAAAGATGTGAAAGATATGTGTGCCATATTTAGATCAGTCATCTTGTAGTCTATTTCTGGAATAATTTTAGAGAAAATTGCTTAAATTTTTTCTTTTATCCCTAAGATGCCCATTTCACCCCTTCCGCATAGAACTGTTCCATGAGACCACTCAATTGCCTCAGTGTGAGACTCATGAAAATCCTGAGGCCAAACACCAAAGAAAATAACACTCCATAGCCTCCATCAGTTTGGTCTCCAGCAGAGAAAGTCCAGAGCTGCACCATCCATTATGGTGGTTACATAGTACATGAGGCTACTCCACATTTGAGATGTGGTTAGTAAGACCAAGGAATAGAACTTTCCATTTTATTTTATTTTAATCCATTTAAATTTAAACCTAAAAATGGAATCAACATAAAATATTTTTTCCATTAAACATTATTATTTTGGAAGGATTACACTTTACTCCAACTATTAAAAAGTTAGCATGCTAATTGATATGCATTGTCAAGTGTAGAATGCACATTTAAATTTGAAGGCTTAGTAGAAAACAAAAAGAATATAAAAATAGCTCATTAACATTATGTGTCAAATCCAGATTGAAATGATAATTTTAGGGATATATTGAGTTATATAAAATATATTAAGAATAATTGACCGCATTTCTTCTCATTTTTAAAAAATTTACACTTAAACTTAGATGTATGGCTCTCATTATTATTCTATTGAATGGCACTAGTTGAGAGGAAAGGAAAAAGGCCCTGGAACCCAAAAACCTAAGTGATCTGAGTGCACTTGTCTGTATTAAGTGTTTCCAGGCCATCTCTTCAGGAAGTGAGCCCACCCTACCTGCTTCCAGCCCCTTGCTTAGAAGTCCAGCAATAGTTTCTCTCTTTCTCTAGATCACCAATAGCTAGGAAAGCCCAGGGGTAAAATACTTGGCTGTGGGTCTTTCCCAGGTTAGAGACATGTCATTGGATAAAATTGAGAACTGAAACTAAAATGACCATTAATAAGTTACTCTAATTAGTCTATTAAGAGCTAAACCACTCAAATGAAACATTTCAGCTGTGGATGAGGTCATTAAAAGAAAGAGCATCCCACCTTACTCATCCCTAGCATCACCAAAGACATCTCCTTAGTGGGGACTTGGAGTAAGTGTCCGTCGACAGAGGAGTGGATAAAGATGTGATGCATATACACAGTAGAATATTACTCAGCCATAAAATAGAGCAAAATGAAATAATGCCATCTGCAGCAACATGGACGGACATAGGGATTGTCACAGGGAGTGAAGAGCATCAGAAAGAGAAAGACAAACAGAGGGCATCACTCATATGTAGATTCCAAGCAAATGGTACCAGAGAATGTATTTACAAAAGAGAAATAGAGTCACAGACATAGAAAACAAACTTGTGATTATGAGAGGGGAAGGGGTGGGGGCAGGGATAAGCTGGGAGATTTGAACTGACATATACACATCACTGTATATAAAACAGACAACTACTAAGACCTCCTATATAGCAGGGGGAACTCTACCCAATACTCTGTAATGACCTGTATGGGAAAAGAATCTAGAAAGAGTGGATATGCGAATATGTATAATAGATCCACTTTGCTGTGCATCTGAAACTAATACCACATTGCAAATCAAACGTACTCCACCTTCTTAAAAAAATGGAATATAGGGGGAAAGGAGACACACTACTAGGTGAAACGTCAATTTTACAGTCATTCCAGAAAACAATCTAGGGACATATAATAAAATTTAATATACTTCAGAAGAGGGGACTTTGAACCTACAGCTATACTTGCCCATAAAAAACAGGACCTTATATAGAAGAGGCTAAAAGTATGATGAGCCATGAGAAGCAGAGGGGGTGGTCTCATGAACCATTCCTAGAAAGACAGAATGTGTAACGGGATGAAAACAAAGTTCAAGTCCCTGGCCTGTCCCTCCCTAAATCCTTCCTCCCCAGTCTCCCTTATCTTGGAGGAGTTTCCCTTGTATTAACTGAAGAAAAACCCAGTGGACTCTGTCTCAACTTATATAAGGTAGTAACAGAAGCAATGGGGCTTTGCTGGTGGCTCAGGGTAAAGAATCTGCAGGCTAATGTAGGAGATCCTACATGGGTTTGATCCCTGGGTCTGGAAAATCCCCTGGAGAAGGAAATGGCAACCCACTCCAGTATTCTTTCCTGGGAAATCCCACGGACAGAGGAACCTGGAGGGCTGCAGCTTATGGGGTCACAAGAGAGTCAGACAAGACTTAGAGACAAAACAACAACAAACAACAGAATCAATAGCAGTACCATGGACACTTTCACAATGCTTCTCACCTTACTGGTGAGTTTCCAGCAATGGAACCATTTAGTTATATACATTCTATTCCCCACTTACTCTAGTCCCCAAACCCTGCTTTTGAAACCTATCACCCAAGGTTTACCTATTCTGTCTCTGCACTTAGGGCCACCCTGTAGGATTTTTTTCAAGATCTCTCCTTAAGTATAAATAGATCATAAAATTCAAGAAGTCTCCATAGTTTCTCTTGGAACCTTACCCTGAACCCAGGCCCATTGTGATTCCTCGACAGTGGATAAAATGCTCCCAGCTGCATCCACCGTCTGCAGAGCTCCTCTGTGACATTCTCTGTATAACCACAGATGTTGGCACCTACCTGGAGAATTAGCACACACACAAGCACAGGGTCAGTGAGAGAGGAGAGAGCATTGACTGTGTACCTATATGATAAGGAAAAATAGCATCTCTTATTTCCATCCTTCCATGTGTAAGGAAGTCCCAGGCTTTCCAGGAAAGCCTCCAGCCAAATGGGAGAAAGAAACAAGTATGCATGGCAAATCTACTGACAAGAAGAAAACTGACTGTCATATTAAGGGCTCTTCCTCAACATCAGCTTTCACTTTCAAGGTCTGGCATTTATGGATGCTCTGCTGATGGGATTTTCTGTGATACTAATATGTGTTAACGTTTACTATCCTACCTTCAGAAGACAGCTCACAAGGCACATAAAAATTGGTTTTCCCAGGCTTCCCTCGTGGTCTAGTGGTTAAGAATCTCCCTGCCAATGCAGGGGACATGGGTTTGCTCCCTGGTCCAGGAAGATCCCACATGCCGTGGAGCAATTAAGCCTGTGCACCACAAATATTGAGCCAGCACTCTAGAGCCTGAGAGCCACAACTACCAAAGCCTGCGGGCCTAGAATCTGTGCTCTGCAACAAGAAACCACCGCAATGAAAAGCCTGAGCACTGCAACTAGAGAGTAACCTCTACTCACGGCAACTAGAGAAAGCCCATACACAGCAATGAAGAGGCAGCACAGCCAAAAAAAAACTGATTTTCCCAGTACACATCACAGTGAAATACATGCTCCTTGGTTTTCAGACACACTCAAAGTCTGGTGATGAGAACAATGTCAAAGAACAAAGGGTGAAAATTCCTTGTTTCAGAATGAAACTCACCATGGGGATGCCGAATAGGTTGAACTCCAGGATACCAGGGATGGACCATCGGAGATCGTCCCATCTGGCTGCATTGTCCCCCAACCAATGAGCAGCAAATTTGCCAGATCCCGCAAAAGTAGAACGTGATAAGATGAAGTGTCTCTTATTGGAGAAGATATTCCCCATGGCCCTGAAAAGGAATACAGTCAAGTGAGCTGGAATGACTAGGACTCACCTACCCCTAGGGCGATAATGGGCTTTCCAATCAAACTTAGAAAAAACACCAAAGTGTCAGGAATCAGGAAAGCAAACTAGTTTAGCATGTTTAAGAGCTTCTTTCTCTCTTCTGGATAAAGTTTCAGATCTCACATGACAATACAAACTTCTACAGGCCAGCCCTGCAACAAGGAATTTCTCTAAGCTTCTATCCTCTTGATTATGTTTTCTCTATCTTGTTAGAACTCGTTGTGCTCTGCCTTTTGCGTCAAAACTACTCTGGAACCATGTTTTGGGTTCTTGGCCCTATCTTCTCCCTCTAGACATGGTTTCTTCAGTGTTCCTGGCTCCATGCCTTGCTGCCCATCAGTAATCCTGTTCAGCACAACACCAGCTCAGGCCGGAACCCAGTACCCACTGCTGGCCCAAGAAGAGAGTGTGTACACCGGCTGGGCTCCAAGCACCTGGTTCCTCTGAAGCTTCACAACTTATTATTAGCAATGTCCAATATGAAATTTGTAATCTATGCAAAATAATGATTGAAATGAGAAAAACAAATGAACTGATGAGTGAAATGTCAAAGATGATATATGGCACTCTTTATAAAGTTAAAAACAACTAAAATATATTTTCCTTGTATTACACATAAAATATTACATATCAAATAAAACTATATAGAAAAGAGAGCAAAGGAATTAAAAACAGAATTCAGAGAGATAATTGCATATAGTTAAAATTATTAATAATATTATTAACTATATATTTTATCCCACCCTGAATCCTGAAGCTATTATCTCTAAATTCTGTTTTTAATTTCTTTGCTGTCTAATCTATATAGTTTTATTTGATATGTAATATTTTATTACATGTTTTATACGTAATACAAGGAAAATATTTATATTTTTTGTTAGATGTAGGCTATTTTCTTAGCTTCTATTCTGCACCCTTTCTTACATAGGTATTTTACTAAAAGGCCTCTGCCATCTTTCTTCATTCACACTAAATAGTTCATGCCTTCCTTTAGGCTCCAAAATTGAACAATAATACAACTACAAGACAATAACACAATTGCTCCTAGCTCTTTGCAGGACAGTTCTTTTATCTTTCCTTTCAACACATGGTCTGAGAAAAAGTTGCCACCAGGCATCAGGCAATTTCTCATAGACACCAACACAACCACCAATGCTTCCTTCCTTCACATTCCTAAGGATTTTATGGAGAGTCTATACATGTAGAAGGACTTATAATGACAAAAAGGGGGAAATTCTGAGTTAGGAGGCTGGTTCATGAAAAAGACATGCTCTATTCTGACAATTCAATGACGAAAAGATGGGAGTAGGTTGGAGGAGAGGACGCACTCCATATCTCGTCCTTGTCTCTCTTTTGATCTAGATTGGCAGACACTTTGCCCTTATTGCTGTTGGTCAGAGGGATTGTTGGCTTCTGCAGTCATCAGTCATGAAAGAAACACCGTCAGCTTTATAGAGTGAAACTCAAACAAGGATGACATTATCTGCAGTCACAGTTTACTTACAGCTGGGCCGTTAAGGTAACACGGAGGAGATAACTGGTTTTTTTTCCCAGCTCAGAGATAAAGTCTTGTTCAGAGATCCTTTCATTCCTCTTTCCCACCATTCAGGTTTGACCTATTTATGGTCAGGTTCTGATCTCTGAAAGAATCTGGTCTTCTGCTTTCAGCCTAGATGGAAGTGAATTTCCTCTTTTGGGTATATTAGTAACCACTTTCCCCAGACTGGACTGCCAGCTAAGATGGAGCCAAATACTCATTAGATCTAAGACTTAGTATGAAAGTCAAAGTGTTAGTCGCTTAGTTGGATCAAACTCTTTGTGACCCCATGGACTGTAGTCCACCAGGCTCCTCTGTCCATGGAATTCTCCAGGCAAGAATACTGGAGTGAGTTGTCATTCCATTTTCCAGGGGATTTTCCCAATTCAAGGATCAAACCCGGGTCTCCTGCACTGCAGGTGGATTCTTTACCATCTGAACCACCTGGGAAGCCACAAGACTTAAGTTCTCCTGATGCCCAGATCCCATTTGTTTTTCAGCCATCTCTGCCTGCCACCTGAAGGCTAAGTTATGGTTATTTCCACAGTTCTCTGGAAATTTAGGTCATTCTGCCTGACCAAGGGAAGTTAGAAGGGTGCTTACTCCTTACTCAATCATAGTTACCTTTTAACTCTCAACCATAGCTAGTAGAATGTTTTAATCAACCCCATCATGATGTTAAAGCACTTTGTCACATGGAGACACTAACAATAATGCAGTTTAAAGTCTCTTTCCTTCCTACTACCCTTCCTTACTCTTCTTTTTTGCCCTGACCATTTATCCCCTCTCCCTCTTACCTTCCATCCTTAGATTGGTGCATCTAAGTGTACAGATAAAATAGGAAGGGACTATAGGAAACATGGTCTTCCCTGGTGGCTCAGATAGTAAATAAAGAATCTGCCTGAAATGCTGAAGACTCAGGTTCAATCCCTGGGTCTAGAAGATCCCCTGGAGGAGGAAATGGCAACCCACTCCAATATTCTTGCCTGGAGAATCCTTTGGACAGAGAAGCCTGATGGGCTATAGTCCATGGGGTCACAAAGAGTCAGATAGGACTGAGTGACTAACACTACTGCTGCTATAGAAAACATTGATCCAAGTCTCTCATTTCAAAGATGGGGAAATTGAGTCTTATTCATCTAGTTTATTTCTCATGAAAGGTAGAGAAAGAGAAAAAGAAGCCAGAAAAGACAAGACAGAAAATCAGAAATGTGTGTCCTTTTTGAAGCTTGTCTTTCATTGAAATAAATACTTTTTCATTTACTAGGCAAGGGTCTACTCTGATCTGGATGATTCAGCATTAATAAAAAGTCATGATGACATTTATGATTAAAACCCTCCAGAAAGCAGGAATAGAAGGAACATACCTCAACATAATAAAAGCTATATATGACAAACCCACAGCAAGCATCACCCTCAATGGTGAAAAACTGAAAGCATTTCCCCTGAAATCAGGAACAAGACAAGGGTGCCCACTCTCACCACTACTATTTAACATAGTTTTGGAAGTTTTGGCCACAGCAATCAGAGCAGAAAAAGAAGTAAAAGGAATCCAGATAGGAAAAGAAGAAGTGAAACTCTCGCTGTTTGCAGATGACATGATCCTCTACATAGAAAATCCTAAAGACTCTACCAGAAAATTACTAGAGATAATCAATGAATACAGTAAAGTTGCAGGATATAAAATTAACACACAGAAATCTCTTGCATTCCTATACACTAACAATGAGAAAACAGAAAGAGAAATTAAGGAAACAATACCATTCACCATTGCAACAAAAAGAATAAAATACTTAGGAGTATATCTACCTAAAGAAACAAAAGACCTATACATAGAAAACTATAAAACACTGATGAAAGAAATCAAAGAGGACACAAACAGATGGAGAAATATACCGTGTTCATGGATTGGAAGAATCAGTATTGTCAAAATGGCTATACTACCCAAAGCAATCTACAGATTCAATGCAATCCCTATCAAACTACCAACGGTATTTTTCACAGAACTAGAACGAATAATTTCACAATTTGTATGGAAATACAAAAAACCTCGAATAGCCAAAGTAATCCTGAGAAAGAAGAATGGAACTGGAGGAATCAATCTGCCTGACTTCAGACTATACTACAAAGCCACAGTCATCAAGACAGTATGGTACTGGCACAAAGACAGAAATATAGATCAATGGAACAGAATAGAAAGCCCAGAGATAAATCCACGAACCTATGGTCACCTTATCTTTGACAAAGGAGGCAAGGATATACAATGGAAAAAAGACAACCTCTTTAACAAGTGGTGCTGGGAAAACTGGTCAACCACCTGTAAAAGAATGAAACTAGAACACTTTCTAACACCATACACAAAAATAAACTCAAGATGGATTAAAGATCTAAATGTAAGACCAGAAACTATAAAACTCCTAGAGGAGAACATAGGCAAAACACTCTCCGACATAAATCACAGCAGGGTCCTCTATGACCCACATCCCAGAATTTTAGAAATAAAAGCAAAAATAAACAAATGGGACCTAATGAAACTTAAAAGCTTTTGCACAACAAAGGAAACTATAAGCAAGGTGAAAAGACAGCCCTCAGATTGGGAGAAAATAATAGCAAACGAAGCAACAGACAAAGGATTAATCTCAAAAATATACAAGCAACTCCTCCAGCTCAACTCCAGAAAAATAAATGACCCAATCAAAAAATGGGCCAAAGAACTGAACAGACATTTCTCCAAGGAAGACATACAGATGGCTAACAAACACATGAAAAGATGCTCAACATCACTCATTATCAGAGAAATGCAAATCAAAACCACAATGAGGTACCATTACACACCAGTCAGGATGGCTGCTATCCAAAAGTCTACAAGCAATAAATGCTGGAGAGGGTGTGGAGAAAAGGGAACCCTCTTACACTGTTGGTGGGAATGCAAATTAGTACAGACACTATGGAAAACAGTGTGGAGATTTCTTAAAAAGCTGGAAATAGAACTGCCATATGACCCAGCAATCCCACTTCTGGGCATACACACCGAGGAAACCAGATCTGAAAGAGACACGTGCACCCCAATGTTCATCGCAGCACTGTTTATAATAGCCAGGACATGGAAGCAACCTAGATGCCCATCAGCAGATGAATGGATGAGGAAGCTGTGGTACATATACACCATGGAATATTACTCAGCCATTAAAAAGAATTCATTTAAATCAGTTCTAATGAGATGGATGAAACTGGAGCCCATTATACAGAGCGAAGTAAGCCAGAAAGATAAAGACCATTACAGTATACTAACACATATATATGGAATTTAGAAAGATGGTAACGATAACCCTATATGCAAAACAGAAAAAGAGACTCAGATGTATAGAACAGACTTGTGGACTCTGGGAGAAGGCGAGGGTGGGATGTTTCAAGAGAACAGCATTGAAACACGTATATTATCTAGGGTGAAACAGTTCACCAGCCCAGGTTGGGTGCATGAGACAAGTGCTCGGGCCTGGTGCACTGGGAAGACCCAGAGGGATTGGGTGGAGAGGGAGGTGGGAGGGGGGACCGGGATGGGGAATACATGTAAAAAAAAAAAAAAAAAAAGATACACTATGGTTGTGAAAAAAAATAAATTAATTAATTAATTAAAAAAAAAAAGTCATGATGGCAAAATGGTGCTGGAAGACAAAATCAACACAGACTCTGCCTCTAGAAATCAGTCCCTGAGGGGCCCATCCTGACCTTCTCTTCCTCAGGCCCAGTATTTATTCATTTAACAAGCACGTCTTCCGTTCACACACTAAGGATACATGGGCAACTTTGACCTGCATAAAAACTGACAGTCTAGCAATAAAAAAGAATATTAAAAAATAATAAGATTTTCACACATTAAGCATATTGTAAACCTATGGTTTTTCTAGTAGTCATGTTTGGAAGTAAGAGCTGGACTGTAAAGAAGGCTGAGCGCTAAAGAATTGATGCTTTTGAATTGTGGTGCTGGAGAAGACTCTTGAGAGTCCCTTGCAGTCAATTCTAAAGGAAATCAACCTTGAATATTCACTGAAAAGACGAAGGCTAAAGCGAAGCTCCAATACCTTGGCCACCTGAAGTGAAGAGTCGACTCACTGGAAGAGACCTTGATGTTGGGAAAGATTGAGGTCAGGAGGAGAAAGGGGCAAGAGAGGATGAGATGGTTGGACGGCATCAGAGAGTCAACGAACATGAATTTGAGCAAACTCCTGGAGATGGTGAAGGACAGGGAAGCCTGGCTGTGCTGTAGTCCACGGGGTCACAAAGAGTCAAAAAAGACTGAACAACTGGACAATAACAGCAGCAAGTGCAGATTTAACTGGGTAGCCTGTATTTTTATTGACTGAATCAGGCAACCCTAGTGTGGTGATCTTAGTACATTCAGTAATAGGACCCAAGCAAGTACTAATGTCCAACTGGGACTTCTAAATACCTTGTATGTTAATACCTTTGAGTATCTTCAAAATAATGAAGTTCCTAAAATAATAAAGCCAATCTTTGAAATAATGAAGCCAATCAAAAATAATCCTGCATAAAAACCTGGGATTATAAGGAAAATCTCTTAATTATCCTGTAAGATCTGAGTTTCTGTATGCCTATAACCACTAAAATATTTGAAATATACAGTGATGAAAGACAAGAGAAACCCTTCATCTCCCACCTCCCCAGATCAGGAATTAGGAGGAAAACCCATGCTTACGAGTCTGTGGCTCTTGCCATGGTGTAGCCATACAAGCTGTGGACATCGTAGTGAAGGCCCCCATAAAACTCTGTGTCCATGCAGAGGGTTCTTGAGAAAAGCAAGCCGTCCAAAACTCCTGTGGGAAAACACCCATCTGTGAGGCACATCCCTGTCCACCAACTGGAACAAAAGAACCACCCAATCACTTGTTTCTTGGTTACTGACCTTCCCTGACAGTCTCCACCTGACAAAATCCTTTCCAGATTTTAAATACCCTAAATGCCACTTCCTACCTTTGGCCTGGGCTTCCCAGGTGGCTTGGTGCTAAAGAACCTGCCTGCCAATGCCGGAGACACCAGAGATGTGGGTTCGATCCCTGGGCCAGGAAGATCCCCTGGAGAAGGAAATGACAACCCACTCTGGTACTCTTGCCTAGAGAATCCCATGGACAGAGGAGCCTGGCGGGCTACAGTCCTGGGGTCACAGAGTCAGACACTACTGAGCACACACGCACCTGGGGCCTACGCTGAGCTGGATCATTAAAATTAATTTGCACTTCCATGAGCTCACAAAGAATGCTACTTAGGCAAGTGAAAAAACATGTTCAGAGCAATGGTTCATCTGCGTTTAAATATAAACAAAGCACTTGCATTTATCAACATGTACTTTGTCAAGAAGAATAGAGAACAAGGCAGTGAACATTTTCACTTTTATATTGTAGACTTTCACACCCCAGTTAGATTTTTTTTTTTAATGAGATAAGATATTTGAGTGTTTTCATGAATAAGAATTCAGATCTTGCCTCTAGAAACCACTACTATTTCTGTATTTTCCTTTTCTCATGCCTAAGATGCTCAGTATTTTCTGCCTTATCTGCAATTGCCTTTTTTTTCATTTTCTGTATTAGCTTTTATTGAATATAGTTGATTTATGATGTTGTATTCATTTCTGGTATACTGCAAAGTGATTCAGATATATATGTATATGTGTGTGTGTATGCCACAACTACTGCGCCCACACCCTGCAACTACTGAAGCCCGCCTGCCTGGAGCTGCTGCTCTGCAACAAGAGAAGCATCACGATGAGAAACCGTGAAAGGCAATCAAGAGTAGACCCCACTCACTGCACCTAGAGAAAGCCTGAGAGCAGCAATGCAGACCCAGTATAGCTGAAAAAAAGTTTTAATTAAGAAAAAAGAATAAGTGAAGAAGTCAACAGTAGATTTTACAAAAAGTTAAATAGTTGAAAGTCAAGACTCTGCCTGAAAAATTCTCCATTCCTGCAGTGACCAAAAGGGACCAAAGAAACAGTTAAACCTTGGTCCAAGGGTGCACATGAAGCGGACAAATTAGAATAAAGTGTCAGAAATTGGCTAGAGGCTCAGCAAGCCTGTGTTCTCTTCCTGGAAGAATATTTCACACTTTCACTTGACATTAAGCCGAGACTGTTATTGGAGTCTGGCCAAAGGAATGTGAGCATATTAAATACACCCCAATTCCAGGAGTGTCCATAAGAATCCCTCTACCCTCTCTTTCACCCAGTAAGCTGGAAGTAAAGGACCCTGGGATGGGAAAACAGACTGTGAAAGTAACTATGTCCCTGAATCATTGCTGGATGAGAGTCACACGTCCCACACTACAGTATTATGTGAGTAAACTTGTGTTTATCCACTGAGATGTTCATTTGTTTCCAGATTCCAGCATAAACTATTATACACTGTTTCTCCCTCTTCCTCTCTCTTTCTCTCTCCCTTTCACACAGACATACTCTTTCAAAATCAGGGATTGGAAAACTCATCAGGAAAAGGCCTTAAAAACAGGAAGGACCTAAAAGGAATCATACTTTAAACTCTTGCTAATGAGCTTTTTTTTCCCCCTGGTAGCTCAATGGTAAAGAATCTGTCTGCCAGTGTAGGAGATGAGGATTCAGTCCCTAATCCAAGAAGATCTCACATGCAATGGGGCAACGAAGCCCAGCGCACCACAACTACTGAGCTTGAACTCATAGAGCCTGTATTCTGCAAGAAGAGCAACCACAGCAATGAAAAGACCACACACCAAAACCAGAGCATAGCCTCTGCTCTCCACAACTAAAACCCGCACGCAGCTATGAAGACCCGGCACAGCCAAAAATAAATAAATTTTTTTAAAAAAAGAAAAGTTAACAAAACAAAGATTTACTTTAATGGCAGGTCGTCTGTACCTTAATGTATTCTGATATTCTGATTATAAAGTTTAACATTGAACCATCTGTATGAAGGGTTTGGAGACAGTGAATAGGGTGGAAGTATGTAAAACTCCACAACTAAAGGAGGTATGGCTTCCACCACGTGCTTGCCCTTGGATTATGGCAACGAAAAGGTATTCAGAGACTGAAAAATGAAGCAAGGTCCCCAGCAGAAGAGTGGTCAGGGTGGTCAGGGTGTTTGGATGGGGAGTCCCTTGAACTGGGAAGTAGATTGCTCCTGGCCACACCAAGTCCTATCAAGGTTGTTTTAAACACATCTCATCCCTCCATCACTAGGAAATAAGTCAAAACTTACGAGGTTTGAAAGGAGGAAAGTTGAAGTTGTTTACTTCACACTCTTGGTCAGAACCTTGTAGAAAGCTAGATACTTCATCCATTTCCTACAAAGACACAAAATACACAAAATGGAAATGTTACTGATGCACAGTTAGCTGTTGAGTAATGCTTACTGAATTCGAAGCCCCAAATTTTCTATCCACTTCTTTAAATATGAACTAAAAGTAGGTGATGCCTGATTTTACTAAACAGTTAATTTTTTAAATTTCAAAGAAATATCCCCACCAGTTATCCCCACCTAAAAAATAAAAGATGCTCATGAAATAATTCTCTAATAATTAATTTTAAATTTTAATGAATCAGTGTGACAATAATAATTATATTAATAGCTTCTCATAAAACAGTATTTTTAAGTTAAAATACAGTTAATGGAAGTAAAAGCTGAAGCCATGAGAAAACAAAGTACTTTCTCAAAAAGAAATAATCAGTTAGTGGCAGATCCAGAGTTAAACTTCCCAGAGTTTTGAGGAGTCTAACTTACTGCATATAAATTCAACATTAAGTAGAAGGATTTGAAATATCACTACATCAAGCAAACTACTTTATTACAGATCAGAGTCAAAGTTTATCTCATGATTTGGAATATCTGTTCCCAAAATAGGTTTGATCCTGAAACAACAACTTACAATCCACACTCCATCAAACTCCAGAGTTTTATAAAATTCACTGAACTGCTCTTTCCACCACTCAGTACCATCTGACTTAGTAAAATCAGGAAAAACTGTCCAACCAGGGTATGCCTAGAGAAGAAAGAAGGCTGTGGCAATTAGTCTGTTCAATGGTTCACTTTGGATTTATTGCTGGCTACCATTTCGTCTACAAGAAGCCCCATGCATCTTATCACTTAAGAATCAAAATTTGTTACTCTCTTCCTAAAATTTAATAGTAAAATAGGAGCAAGGAGCCAAGGAAACAAAGAAGAAAAGGGAAAAGAAGTCATTAAATAGATAAGAAGCCATCAAATGTCTTTTTCCTATTAAAAAAAAAAGGTAAAATATGTCAGGCCAATTGGGAGAAAGACTGTTTAAAATACTGGAAATATAACTGGACAATATTTTAGAAGAGAATGATTAAATTTCTTTAATGTGTTGTCAAGTAAAGGTAATCTAAAATCTACTTTGAATAATGATATTTCTAAATAATACATTGGTTTCAGCATATAAGCAATCTTTTTTAAGTGGTTAATTTCATGCTTCTTACTGAGGCCCAATTATTTCTCACCCTATCTTCTCTTCCTATCTATTCCTATCAAAGTGTAGCTTTTAACATTTTCTACAAATAGCATAAAGATACAGCCATAGCCAAATTATTGTAAATTATGAATTTACAGGATATAAGTTTTTGTGCATACTTTCTTGCTCATCCCCCAGCAAATGTATAGATTGTCATTTAGGGACAATTTTATGCTCAAGTAATACAATGTATACAATTTATATGTATTTATAATTCAGAGGCTTCTTAAAACTCAAGATAAGAGCTTAAAGTTCTTCCTGTAAGTGGACTGAACTCCTGGTCCTTCATTTTAGGTCATGACAGCAGATCATAATTAGAGAAAATTTTGGACCTCAGGGGACAGACATGTGGCAAAGAAGTCACTTGCAGCAACATTCCACCTCGAGCAGGGCCAGCAAGCTTTGTTCTAACTGAATGCTTTTATAATGAAGCCCAACCACCCCCCACTATGACTACCTCTGCCAACATCCTAGATCAAATGATTCGTGTTATTTGTTGGTCAGGGGAAGTCACACCATAACAAAGAGTAGCCCCAACTCACTGCAACTGAAGTCCATGCAAAGCTACGAAGACTCACCAAGGCCAAAAAATAGAATAAACAAATAAATCTTAAAAAAAATTTCTTCTCATTATCTGTAGTATTGGAGAGTCAGGGTATAGATTTTTAATTAGACTAGCTGTTTTTCCCACCACAATAAAGAAATCATAATATATGAAGTGATAGAAGCACTAATTATTACTACAATAGCAGTCACATCGCACATGGATCAAATCAACGTGTTATATACTTTAAACTTAAACAATGTTATTAATATATATAATATATTTCAACTAAAAAATCCTTCAGAATTTTAATCTTTCTATTATTCCATCTACTGGTCTAAAAGTAATAATAAAAGAAAACACTAAAGTTACGAAAACTAATGATACTGTAACTTGCTTTCTACATACTCATCTTCATACCAAAAGTACAAACTTCACAAAATGATTGTAATCACTCCAGTTTTCTTGAGAAATTACCTGCCCAACAGCAAAGCCTTTGTCCCCCAAGATCCAAACTCTCTTTCTGCTTCCTTTCACGAAAGGCTGGTAGTCAGAGTTATTTAAGATGCCCGGATTCTATTAAGTGAATATAATAAGTACTCTTTAGTAACTTTTCCCACTTTGAAAGGAAAAATTAGGCAACAGAACAAGTGTTTGAACGTACCATAATAATTACATATTTCAGTCCATTTTCATGTAACTCATTGGCAAAGTCCGAGAGACCGTGGAAAGCCACTCCATCAATGGTGAAATCCTTCTTTTCATCCATGTAGTCAATGTCAGAATACTGGACATCCTGAAAGACAGTGCTGGTCAATTAGAACTGAGAAATAAGATCACGCTGATGGAAGATATTATAGCTCTGGTTCTTGATGATTAAAACTGAAGCCATAGTTCTTAATGATCCCGGAACTGTCCAGACTTGGCTATACTCTAGGAGTAAAGAAACCCTTTCTGAAAGATACCGGCACTCTTAGATTGCAGGTTTACTTTCATACCAATAGAAGCATGCCATAAGGAATTGAGAAGAACTTGAAGTAGGACTGGATCTTGTTCACCTTGTAACTTGAGAACTTGGATGCTTGACATAAAACAAGTTCTCTTTAAAGTGTGTTTGAATGAGTATATTAGTAATGTTATAACCGTGTTCTAACTTGGAGCCTAAACTTTGAACTAGAATAGATGATAAGAGGGGAAATTGGTCTTCTTGCCCTAAAACTGCCGGAGTAATAATTAACAAAGATAAATAACAAAAGCAAAGAGCTTTAATTAACCAAACTCTCATGCATGTGTATGTTTGTGTTTGCATACCATCCTATGAGAAGTAGGTGTTATTCTTAATGAGAAGAACGAAATGAGAAGGGGTTAAGTGACATTTCCCGAAATCATGGGTACATGAGTCTATGGGGGTTGACTGGGGTTTTGTTGATAGGCTCTTGGATTCCAGATGCTATTTTTCTCCAACCTACTACATACTCCAAAGCATATGAAGTTCTTCTAAGCTGATAAGAGAAGTTCCAACTTACATATGGGATCTCAGCTTCACGAGTTCGGTTTACAACATTTTTCAATCCATCAATGCCACCATAATTCCTGCGACTAAGCTGGAACCCAAGACTCCAGTAGGGAGGCAAGAATGGTCGTCCAACAAGCTGAAAAGATAAAGAAGTGTCTAAGCATTTAGAATACACACTGTAGCACCACTTCTAACACAGAAAATACTGCCTTCACTTCATTTTCTCAGATCTAAAAATGTTGAAGCTGAGAGTAACCTCCGGGGCAATTTACAAAATTCTACAGCTCACCTAACTACCTAAATGTATTCCTGACAACAGCAACATCAGAAAACAGCGGGACTTGCAGGTAATGCTTGAATCACAATATAATATTGGGGGAAAGAAAGAAGCAACATTCATTCATTCAGTGAATCTTCCCTAAGTGTTGATATTGTGGCAAAGGATTGACAAGGCACTTGGGATATAGTGGCACACAGCAGAAGTGATTCCTGCTGTCACATCAGTGTCTAATTTCAGACAGCGAGAAGTGCTAAGCATAAAGCATCAGGACTAATATTGAATGGGATGGATGAAGAAATAATGGACTATGTTTAAAATCCAACTCTATAAGTTGCCCAAGCCAACACTCTGAGAAGATCTCACATACAGCCCTGTCTCAAATGTTCCCTGAGAGCCGCTGTCTTGTCCTTCCTTAGGAGAGTCGCCTCAGGAGGGGGACTCTCTCGTGGCTCTGAGTCCCCATGCAGTGTATTTGCATCTTATTAGTAGCACTAATTATAAGGTGCTTCCTATTACCATTATTTCAGGCTTTGTTATATTTCTCCTATGTTATTATAAATTGTTCCATCTTGAACAAATTGCTCCATTTTTCTGTACCTGATGCTTTTCTTCTGTAGCGTAGAAAGTTTAAACTAAATGGTGTCTAAAGTTCCTTCCTGCCCTAAGTTTGAACCAAAAATAAGTAGCACAGTTCTTTTTACATAGTTTCTTTTCAGTATTTTTTTTTTATTTGTTGAATCAATGAATAGATTTTGCTGATCTGTGGCCTTAGATCTTATCTTTGGAATGATTCATCATACACAGATGGACTATGAGCTCCCTGAAAACAGGAATGGCATCTAACTGGTTTTGCATTTCTCAAGCCTTGCACAGTGCCTCTTCAGCATGTAGAAGGCACTCAATAAATGTGCATCAAAATAGATGAACAGCTGAGATCACTTTCCTAGTGATCCCATGACTAAGACATTGAGCTCCCAATGCAGAAGACCCATGTTCAACCCCTGGTCAGGGAACTAGATCCCACATTACACAACTAAGATCTGGTACAGTCAAACAAACAAACATGCTTCCAGCTAATGAAAGACTCACAGTCCCAGCATTTGGAATCCATAATTCACTTACAATTTTAATTTTTCTCCTGTTAATTTATAATGAATGCATGAGATAACAGCAATAAATAATGATTGTGTGTGCATGTGGTCATGCTATGTTGCTGCAGTCGTGTCCAACTCCATGTGACCTTCTAATTGTCTAAACACCAAGCCCGTACCTCCAGGTATTCCTGAACCACTTGTTCTGGAGTATTTCCCAGGAACACATAGAAGTCAAGAATACCCCCGATCGTGCGGTAAGTGACGGCAGGAGCAGGCTGAAGGGTGACTTCTGAAAGCAGTAAGATAAGAGTTCTTAGAATGTTATAGTTGGAAATATACCCATTTCTGGAATATGAATGTCTGAATTATCCAAAACAAGCTCAGTCTCATTTTAAAAGAGTTGAAAATCACACATGTTCTTTTCTTTGGGTGATGGCTGAAGTTTATCAAAATATTCAGTTCAGTTCAGTTCAGTCACTCAGTCTAACAATTCTTTGGGGCCCCATGGACTGCTGCACGCTAGGCTTCCCTGTCCTTCACCAACTCCCGGAGCTTACTCAAACACATGTCCATTGAGTCGGTGATACCATCCAGTCATCTCATCCTCTGTTTTCCCCTTCTCCTCCTGCCTTCAATCTTACCCAGCATCAGGGTCTTTTCCAAGGAGTCAGTTCTTCACATTATGTGGCCAAAGTACTGGACTTTCAGCTTCAGCATCAGTCCTTCCAATGAATATTCAGGAATGATTTCCTTTAGGATGGACTGATTGAATCTCCTTGCAGTCCAAGGGACTCTCAAGAGTCTTCTCCAACACCACAGTTCAAAAGCATCAATTCTTCAGTGCTCAGCTTTCTTTATAGTCCAGCTCTCACATCCATACATGACAACTGGAAAAACCATAGCTTTGACTAGATGGACCTTTGTTGGCAAAATAAATATCTTTATTGTTTAATATGCTAGGTTTGTCATAGCTTTTCTTCCAAGGAGCAAGTGTCTTTTAATTTCATGGCTGCAGTCACCATCTGCAATGATTTTGAAATCCAAGAAAATAAAGTTTGTCACTGTTTCCATTGTTTCCCCATCTATTTGCCATGAAGTGATGAGACTGGATGCCACAATCTTTGTGTTTTTTTTTTCAATCTTCATTTTTCGAATGTTGAGTTTTAAGCCAGCTTTTTCACTCTCCACTTTCACTTTCATCAAGAGGCTCTTCAGTTCATCAAAATATCATTCATCAGTTCATCAAAATATTCAGCTCATCAAAATATCAAAATATTAAACGAGTAAAATACTCATGAAGAATTTATTTTTTAAGAGAAAGAAGGACAAAATCTGTTTTAATCTGACCATATAAAAATACAAATTCATGGGATCTGTGAGTGATTTAGCTTGAAGGAAAAAATTTTTTAAACTTATTAGATGAGCTTACAGTTAAAAAATAAAAATGAACTCTTATTCTAGAACCATTAGTCCAGAAACTGGAGGGAGGTTAAGTGGGCTATGAGAAACCCTACAAAACAAAGCCTTGTTGTCTACAGACAGACAGCATGGTTTAATGGTGAAATCTACAGGTATCTTTGGAATGTGTCTATCAATGGAGTCTATTATCTATAAAATATTATGGGTAACATTGCATCAATAGAGAACACTGAAGCAGTCTTCCATGAAAGTAGCTTCCAGCTTGAACAGGATTTGTAAACAGGTTAATCTATGTTTGAGTTTCAGTTTCTATAGAAATATATTGTAGGTCCAATATATTAATACCTTCAACTTTAAACAATGATCTCACTATGAAAAGCATTTTTATAAAAGCAGCATTCCAACACATATTGCTGCCAAGAGAAAGAGATGTTTCCTACCCATGGCGTTACTGTTCATCAGAAAAACCCCGAAAGAGAAGCCGCTGGAGTCTTCCAGGCACAAGAAGAATGTGTGAGCTCCATATAGATTGATCATGCCCTGACAACAAAAATAAAGAAAATAATGGTAGTGCCTGTTGAAAACACTTTTATTCAACTTAAAATAAAATCAAAAGCCATGCACAATAGATACGCTGTTAACATTTGATGTGGTTCAGTACTGTACCAAAAAGGTTTTGAAATGGTAACATCAACAGGCAAATGGATAGGCAAAATATGGTATATCCATCCAAAGGAATGCTATTAGTAATAAATAAGAACTGAAATACTGATTCGTGATACTTCATGATACAAGTGTCAACCTCATAAATGATTTTTTGAGGGGGTTGTTTTCTTTTTGGCTGAGCCAGGCCAAACTTATTTTCTGAAAGAATTTTTTTAATTTAATTTTATTTATTTGACCACACTGTGCAGCATATGGGATCTTAGTTCCCCAACCAAGGATTGAACTTGTGCCCCTTGCAGTGGAAGTGCAGAGTCTTAACCACTGGACCACCTGGGAAGTCTCATCAACCTCATAAACGCTATCGTACGTGAAAAGAACAGACACAAAAGACCATATATTATACAATTCTATTCATGAAAAATATCCAAAGAAGTCAAATATATCCAGACAGAAAGCAGATTAGTGACTGGGGCTGGAGTAGGCAACTGGGGTAGGGATGGGATTAAATCTAAAAGAGAAGGAGGGATCCTACTGGGGTGATGAAAATGTTCTGAAACTGGAATATGATGATGGTTGCACAACTCAGTAAATTATTAAACTGTACACTGAAATGAAAATTATTAAATTGTAAAATTATTAAACTGTACACTAAACAGATAAATATCATGGTATAAATTATATCTCCAGCAAATCAACCTGAATATTCATTGGAAGGGCTGATGCTAAAGCTAAAGCTCCAATACTTTGGCCACCTGATGCAAAGAGTTGATTCACTAGAAAAGACCCTGATGCTGGGAAAGATAGAAGGCAGGAGAAGAAGGGGACAACAGAGGATGAGATGGTTGGACAGCATCACTGACTCAATGGGCATGAGATTGAGCAAGCTCCAGGAGATGGTGAAGGACAGGGAAGCCTGGTGAAGGACGGGGAAGCCTGGTGAAGGACAGGAAAGCCTGGTGAAGGACAGGAAGCCTGGTGAAGGACGGGGAAGCCTGCTGTGCTGCAGTCCATGGGGTCTCAAAGAGCAGAACATGACTGAGTGACTAAACAACAACAACCATCAAATTATTTTTTATTTTGAAAATATTGGTAATGACACACAATAAAATGCTGGCAGAAGGAGAGAATATGATGAGCAATCTTGAATTTCTTCTTTATGCCTGTTTTCCAATTTTTCTATAAATAACATACAAAAGTTTAAAATTTTAAAAAAGATACTGAATCACTGACAAGGCTGTGATGAGCACTGATATAAAAAGAGAGACTGTGTATAAATGTAAGTGCTATAAGAATAAAAGATATTGAGATTACAACATACAGAAAGCTTTATGAAAGCTCCCGGTATGATGTTGCAAACTTAGCCCCTGGTACAGAACTGATCACAGTAAATTTCCAGTGATGAGGAGAAAGAGAGTGAGCATGATATGCAAAGGATGGAAGGCCAGCATGACTACGCAAAATTAGGCTGGTTTTGAAATTATAGCCAGGAAGACTCACAACATCAGCACTTGGATAGAAAGAAAGTGAAAGTGTTAGTCACTCAGTCATGTCCAAGTCTTTGTGACCCCATGGACTGCAGCCCACCAGGCTCCTCTGTCCATGGAATTCTCCAGGTGAGAATGGGAGTGGGTTGCCATTTCCTTCTCCAGGGGATCTTCCCCACCCAGGGATCGAACCTGGGGCTCCCACATTGCAGGCAGACTCTTTACCAACTGAGCCATCGGGGAAGCTTCACTTGGAGAGAAAACAGGCTATGTGTTTAAAAATATTGAAAAGAAAGGAGGAGAGGTGGAGGAGATGAGGGGAGATAAGAAAGAGAAAAGAAAGGGAAGGCGAGAGAGGGAAGAGAAAGGAAGGAAAAGAGGGATGGAGGAAGGACACCTGGACTACAAATAAGTTACTGCTCTAAACCAGCTTTTCTCCCATTTTAATATGCATGTGATTCACTTGTGGATCTTATTGAAATGTAGGTTCTGATTTGCAGGTCTGGGCTATGGCCTGAGGTTCTGCATTTCTAACAAGCTCCCAGGTGATGCCAACACCACTGTCTCTGGAATACATATCAATCAGGAGAACAAAGCAGCCAAAAGAGGCATTTTCTTTCAGTCTACAAAGTTCTACTGAGAAGGGCCCCTGCTGAAGCTTTTCCCTAGACACTACTCAGTTCCTGAAGACAAACAAAGGTATTTTGCAGATGTTTTTTCTAGTTTATATTAGGCTATAATAAAATCATTAAATTATATTTTCCTTTGGGACTTCCCTGGCAGTCCAGTGGTTAAGAGTTCAAGCTTCCATTGCAGGGGTACCAGGTTTGACCCCTGGTGGGGAATCGAAGATCCCACATGCCATGCAGCGCAGCCACAAATAAATAAGAAAAGTTTCTCATAAAAATCTATATTTTCCTATAAAAGTGAGATGCTTTCCAAAATCTCTCTATTACTGATTGTGAGTTTATAAACCTTATGAACAAATATTCTTCAACACAAACAGATCTATATAAATTGGGCAAAACATTAATGTAACTTCAGAGGTTACATTACTTGACTGTCTACTTTACTCTGTAGGTTACTTTCTGGCAAGAAGAGCGGGCATTGCTTGCTGTGAGCCATCAGCAAGAGGCTGGGAACCTCACCTCGGTGGGGGTGGCATCCCGGGTAAAGATGGGCCAGGTCTTCCAGGTCATGTTGTGACGGAACTGCTGGTGCACATGTTCGCCCAGCCCGTACACGTTGGCACTGGGCAGTCGCATGGAGAGCTGCAGGTACTGCTGGGCAAACTGGAGGGGCCCGATGCTGGTGTCCAACCTGGAGAAAGGGCCATGGAGTAAGGGCGGGAGTCAACCAATAGCTCTCTGTGTCAGCAGTCTCTCTGCTTCCCTGCCTGTCCACTCGGGGAACAGCTGTTTCAGATGTTACCATCACCTGCTTGTTTGCTACCTTTGAAGGCCCTTCTAGAGTGTCTCCGATTCTTTGATTCTTCAAGGAGCACAGCCCTGGAGATATGAGGCCAGCTATTCAATGCAACCCCATCCATCTACTTCCATTAGCATCCTGCCAGGCACCACTCTGGGTGCTTTATAAATAGCATCTCAACACACACAGCAACAGTGGCTGTTTTGATTCCAAGGAAACAGAGACGAGGAGGTGAGATAATTTGCCTAGGATCACACAGCTGACTGGTAATTCATGTGTGACAGGATTGCATAGATTTCACTGACATTATTATCCTTATATTTTCTCCAGTACAATTTCTGGTTTAAGTTTAAGCTGCTGTTAGGTGCTTATTGGTAAGTTTCTCAGGAAATAACACTATGGAATGATAAGTAGTGAAGTTGAGTTCCAGTGTAAATGGTTATCTAAAAGAGAAACGCTGCCACTTTTAAAATATACATGAATCACAAGAGTATTTACATAACTGAGCAATTGAGCACATTACATTTCAATATTCTTTGTTCCCTGTGATCATGACAGATTACCAGTGTTAATGATTTACAGTAAAAGCTTTGACATTTTTGAGGTTCAAACCTTTTCCTAAGTCATACTCATCTCTTCAACTACCTGCAGTTAAGTCAGAATGAATGCCACTCACTGGGACATATATTCAAAGGTATACAAAGAAGGTTGAAAAGCTCACAAGACTCTCTTGTTGCTGGTCCTCATTATTTTGATGCTGAAGGGTTTTTGAATGACTTCTAGATGATAGTTCAAATTGGAAGCACCAGCATTCACATCAAAGAGCTTAACATTTTCATGGGGGACTTCATAGCGCATGTTATTGAAATCAGTGATCTGTCAGATGGAAAACAGAAAGGACACTTCCTTTTAGAGCTTCTACAAAAATTTTCACTCTCAAATAACCCCCAGTAATGACAGCTTCTAATTCTTGACCCTGGGTTTCCTGATTTGAAAAGGAAATAAAAAACTCATGCTTCCCCCATCAAATAAACATCAATCTGCCCATCCTATCAGGAGATTCCTGCAGAGAGAATCAAAGGCACCTCCTGCCTCCAGAGCTTATAAAGGAGAATGATCTGAACCCAGCATGGAGGCTCTGCTCTCTGCAGAGATGTCTTCAGTGATAACTATCAAGCTAACCTTAAAATGGAAACGATTGGATGTCTGATGTTCAGCTGTGAAGACGGCATCGATTATGTCATATCCAAACAGAGATGGTGATGGCAACTTTCTCAACTGGGCTTTATACACTGAAGGTCAGGGGAGGAGAGAGAAGTATTTGGTCTTTATTTTGCAGTTAACTTATCTGGTCCATATAAAGTGATCCCCGGGGGCAATGTTAGAGCAGTGCTCACCTGTGCTTGTATTATTAACCCAATTGCTGATTTCGTAGCCCCAGTTCCTGGGGAAGAAGCACCAGGGGATGGCAGTATCTGGCACAGGTTTCCAGCAGCACTTATATTTCTGTCTGCAGACATCCTATAACAACAGCACAGAATGAGCATTACATGAAATGAAGGAAAATACTAGTCATCTATTTATTTGTAACCAATTTTACTGCAAGAAGAATTTCTGATGGGGCACAATTCCATTCAGTCATGTATTCATTCTTCTTTTATTCATACATTTATCCAGCCATCCAACATGCATGTATTACCTACTCAACATGGAACTATTAATAATAATACAGATAAATAAGACCCAGTTCTTGCCTTCAGCAAACTTACAATCAATTTGTAAATCCAGGTACTCACAATATGATGAGTGCTGCAATGGTGTGCCCTGGGGCTGAGGAGACACACATACCAGCCACCATGTCCAGCCTAGAAGACTGGGGTAAGGGTGGGGGTAGGGTGGGCATCTAGGCAAGTGAAAGGTAAGTCCAGCCCTAATGCAATAGGAGGGGTTAGACACATGACCAGCAGAGCAGGACTCCAAGCAGAGAAAGCAGCAGTGCACAAGAGACTCAGTAGATCCGTCAGTTCGTTGTGCCAAGAATACCACGGGAGAAAAGTGAGACTGGAGGCTCACAGTATCCATGCCAACAGTGAGGTGAATGCTGGACCAAACACTGTGGACTTTCTCACAAGGAAGAGTCATGGAAATAGCTAACAATATGTGGATTCCCAAGTGGCACTAGTGGTAAAGAACCCACCTGCCAATGCAGGTGAGACATAAGAAATTTGGGTTGGATCCCCGGGGTTTGGAAAATCCCCTGGAGGAGGGTACGGCAACCCACACCAGTATTCTTGGCTGGAGAATCCCATGGACAGAGGAGACTGGCGGGCTACAGTCCATGAGATTACAAAGAGTCGGACACAGTTGAAGTGACTTAACCTGCACATAGCATGAAGAAATGCATTTCTAAGAAATAAGAAAAGGAAATCAAAGGAACACTGAGAAAGTTAAGATCAAACTAGGATAGACAGTGATGTCAAACAAATTTACAGTGTCCACAAGTTAAAAATAAACCACACGTGGTTTCTCACAGTGGCTTGATTATAGATTTTTTTAAAATTACTATCATTTGGTGAGGTGTATTTTCTAAAGTTCCTACAGATTGTTTTTTTGTGTGTTCCCCATCCTGAACCCCCCTCCCACCTCCCTCTCCATCCCATCCCTCAGGGCCATCCCAGTGCACCAGCCCTGAGCACCCTGTCTCATGCATTGAACCTGGACTGGTGATCTGTTTCACATATGATAATATACATGTTTCAATGATAGATTAATTTACTTAAAAATTTGTTTTGTTATAATAAATTAAATAGATGGCAAATTGAACCGAAATGTTGAAATAAGCACAGGTATGCACCTCTCCACCCAACTGATTTTACGTGAATTGACAGAAGTATCATTAAGAAAGAAATTACAAATCCATTGTAAAACAGCAAAATATAGTTCAGTACAGCAGACCAGAAAAGTTGTGAAGTTCCTGAAACACAGAAAATCAACTTTATCAGCTCTAGGGAAAACACATATTCATAGCTTAAAACACAAGAGAAGAAAAAGAACAGCTCCAAGTCAGGTAGGTGTGGAGAAGTGCAAGAGAAACCTGGGATGTAGCCGCAGATGATTAATTTGGAAGCTCTCACAGATACTGGTTAGCTCCTGCTAATGGGTGGGCATCCAAAAGTGTTTATTGATAGGTTGAGGGACTGAGGGAGCTTCCCAGGCGGCTCAGTGGTAAAGAATCCTCCTGCCAATGCACGAGATGCTGGAGACATAGGTTTGATCCTTGGGTCGGGAAGATCTCCCTGGAGGAGGAAATGACAACCACTGCAGTATTCTTGCCTATGGAAAATTCCATAGACAGAGGAGCCTGGTGGGCTATAGTCCACCAGGTCACAAAGGGTAGACACAACTGAGCAAGTGAGTAAGGGAGTGAGGAGACATGCTGGGAGCCAGAAGGTATGGCAATGCAGCAGCTAATAAACTGCCCCCACCCCGCCACCCCCCGCCGGCCACCAGCACCACTCCCAGATAAGTATCCATTTTTCTCTCCAGCAGCCCTCTCCTCCTCAATTCTCAGCATGAGCTAAGGTAAATAGGACAGGCAGTCATAGACAATGAAATACAAAGATGACAGTCAAGCCACCCAAAATTTGAGAGAAACTAACATCATGATCCATACATGACTACTGGAAAAACCATATCTTTGACTAGATGGACCTTTGTTGGCAAAGTAATGTCTCTGCTTTTTAATATACTGTCCAGGTTGGTCATAACTTTTCTTCCAAGGAGCAAGCATCTTTTAATTTCATGGCTGCAGTCACCAGCTGCAGTGATTTTGGAGCCCAAAAAAGAGCACCAAAGAATGAATGCTTTTGAGCTGTGGTGTTGGAAAAGACTCTTGAGAGTCTCTTGGACTGCAAGGAGATCCAACCAGTCTATCCTAAGGGAAATGAGTCCTGAATATTCATTGGAAGGACTGATGCTGAAGCTGAAACTCCAATACTTTGGCCACCTGAGGCAAAGAACTGACTCATTTAAGAAGACCCTGGTGCTGGGCAAGATTGAAGGCAGGAGGAGAAGGGACAACAGAGGATGAGATGGTTGGATGGCATCACTGACTCCATGGACATGAGTTTGAGTAAGCTCTGGGGATTGGTGATGGACAGGGAAGCCTGGCGTGCTGCAGTCCATGGGGTCGCAAAGAGTCAGACACAACTGAGTGACTGAAATGAACATCATGATAGGAAGGGACCAAACTTAATAAGCAAATTGGAGGAAGCAGTTAATAGAAAAAACATTATTAGCCTTCAAAATAAACATAATTTCTACCTTCAGACACGGGCACACGGCAGTTGCTTCCATTAAGAAAAGCAATAAAGAGCACTGAAAGTGAAGGTATCTAACAGCAAGGTTTCAAACTCAATATTTGTACTGAATAACAAAAAGGAAACAATAAAAGAAAGAAGTATCGAGGCAAGAAAATAGGTTTAATTCATTTTAAGATTATCCAAGAGCATAATACACAAAGATAAAGAAATGGACGAAGAAAAGATAAGTCAAGTGACCAGTGGACTCACAGAGCAGCACTCAGCTAGAAGATTCCAAAAGGAGTAAAAAGAGAAATGGAGGAGGGAAGAGGGAACCACGGAAAGAGAGAAAGTAATGTTATATATCACGAGCAACTCAATATACAACACAGGAAACTGGAAAAGAACAAAATAAAGCCATAAAAGCTACATGAAAAGCTAATAAGTAAAAGCAGTAACTAATGGAAGAGAAAAGAAGCAAGTACCTACAATCAATTAAAAACATGCAATTTTTTTCCCAGGTAATAATCTAAGAATATGTGCCGTTGTGCTGTCACAGCAAGCATAGTAGGGTAAGCCAGACATCTCCATGAAACAGACCTAGCTTCTACTATTGATTTGAAATTCTATTTTTATTATGAACTAAATTTAAGTGTACAAGTATGAGAATATGAATATGTGTTTGGGAACTTCTTATCATATTCTAATGATGTACATATCAATTCCTGCTGTCATTCCACCCTGATAATTATTATAGTGTGAAGACATGTTTTGGTACGAGTTTGGCAGATCAATAAACCTAAAGGAGACTCTCTGAAAAGATCTAAGAAATATGAAAACATTATCAAGTCCTATTTTGACAAAGGTGGGGTTACAAACAAGATTAGGAACAAAAAACGCAGAATGACAACAGATACTAGGATTAAATATTTACCAATGAATGGGAACCTGTAATTTGAATCTTCAAATAGTGAAACATTAGATAATCAAGATTAGATAGGAAGAGATAAAAAATCAAACGATCATTAACCATGAAAATTGTAAAAAGTAGTCAAAGGCCTTTCCCTAGAAAAATGATATTTTGCCCATATGATTTAGGGAATAGAATATTCTCATGTAACATATATATTTTCAGAACAAGGTAAAAAGTTTTCTGATTAATTTTATTAGACTAGAATAATCCTAGCAACAAACTAGATAAGGAGAACCCAAGCAAACAATCATATAAAAATGTATAAGCCAATTTCACTTAAAAAAGATAGATATGTAAAATTTTAATAAAATGTTAGCAATCTGAATTCATTAGGGTATTAAAAGAATTAACTCATAATAGTCAAGAGAGGATTCTCAAGAGAATGCTACAGTGGTTCAAAATTAAGAAATCTTTTTAGTATAATTCACAACATTGACCAAAAAAAAATATTAGATGATCGTCTCAAGCACCTTTTAATATATAAAAATGCCCCAAATTTTAAAAGCAAGTTATTAAATAAGATAAATAGTACAACTAAATTCATGTGAAAACAAAGCCAAAAATATATAAATATATGTACAAAATATATAAATACCTATGTTAACATAGGCAAAAGCTTAGCAAGATCAAGAGAAGGATACATACAAAGCTCTTTATCTGATTCTGAGTAGGTGAATTAGAAATGAAGAGAAAGCATTACAAATAAGGACTTCCCTATTTTTATTTTGTACATAACTATAATGTCTGAATCTTTCTTATTAAAGGAATATATCCAAGTATAGATTTTGTGATTTAAAAAATAAAAGAATATGTCACAATACTACTCATTTAGAAAATATTTTAGATGCTAACATCTATTGTAATTGCTCTGAAAAACCACAGTATAAATGTGTATGCCTGTGACTGATTCATGTTGATGTATGGCAGAAACCAATGCAATGTTGTAAGCAAGAATCCTCCAATTAAAAACAAATAAATTAAATTAAAATAACTAAGTAAATATAACAGATCAACCTTTCATGCTTATTATAAACAAAGCAATTACAGGGAAAGAAAAGGAAGCCTGGCATGCTGCAGTCCATGGGCTCACAAAGAGTCAGACACAACTTAGACAGAACAAAAATTACATTATAGCCATATAATCGCCTTAAAAGTACTTACTAAGTCTCCAAATATATAACTGATATTCCTGCTTCATCCTCTTTAAATACAAAATAGATTGGAAGGGATCAGTGGAGAAGTTTGGG